AAAATGCCCCAGAAACATTTGATAACATTTTGTTGGTAATGAAGTCTGAAAAAAGGATTGGGGATATATGTAAGTCAATAGTAGAGCCCTTGTATAGAAGAACAAGGCCCTGAGTTCAGTTCCCATACCTGCAAAGACAAAAAACAAGTCTGAAAAAAATACCGCAGTCCTAGCTCTGCCATCCAACATCCCTGTGGGATCTTGTGAAAAGTTATTTAGCCATTTCCTTCTCTGTAAAATGGAATGATAACATATGCCTTGGAGAGCCATTGTGAGTAACATAACTGAATGTTACTCACATACGTTATCATGTGAGATGCTTAACACCACGATGCCACAGAAATGATCGCCTTCCTTCTTTTTATTAACTTAGGAAAAGCATAATATTTAGTTGGTCTCTTTGCCAATTTGGATTTACTGGATAGCCTATCTCTTACTCTTTTGGCGCTGCATCACTTTTCTTAGGTTCCTAAAATAACTTTTTACTCAGAGTAAAAAATTCAGAGTGGACATTGGTATTGTTGATGAAGATCTTTTTCTTTTGGATAAGGAGTACTTCCTGTCCATCTGACTAGTGAAAAATTCTACCTAGTTGAAGATTCTTAGTCATTTTAAATTTTATCATGGATATGCTTCTGGTTTTTCTGAATAATATAGAAAACAGATGAGATTGAATTTTTATAGCATTGAAAGATACTCTAAATTACTATTCTATATTTAAAGTAATTACATAAAATATCTTAAATGTAATCCTAGATTCAAGTGTGTATTGTTGCATTAGTGCACTTGATTAGTATAGCACAGGACTCTTCAGTAGAAGTGTTTCAGACAAAATAATGGTGAGAATGGCTTAAGGATCTGTTCACATTGAAAGACTGAGTTTGTTTTTGATTCTGATTCAATGAAAAGTTCTCTAGTTCTTTTCTATACTGTAGAGTCAAGGGCTTAAAAAGATCTTTGTGATTTGATTGTGGTCTATCTGGAAGTGCATTAGTGGCAACTTTCCATTTTAACAGTATATTGGGGGAATCTCTTGATTGTAAACTTCAAAATAATATTTATGTATATTACACAGGCAAGTTTATGTTGTATTAATTTCTGTTCAACTGTGTAAGCCTTAATCTTTTTTTCTTTCTGTGATACTGGGGTTGAATATAGGGCCTCACACATGCTAGGCAGGTGCTGTTCCATTGAGCTGCACTCTGACTCTTTTAATTTTTGAGACAGAATCTCGGTAAGTTGCCAAACTGGCCTTATACTTGTGTTCCTCCTGCCTCGGTCCCCCAAATAGCTGGGATTCTAGGCATACACCTTCATGCCCTGTAGATAATCTAGTCTTATAATCAAGTATGCTGTGAAATTCTTGTGTTATATTATTTCTCCTTTGAAGATGGAGTGTTCCAATTTCATATATCCTCCAAACTAATTTAAGATGTAAAATAAGAATGTAAGCTATCTGGTTACGATCTGCAATTCTTAACCTTTAGAACTTCAGGGTTCTGGTACATGCTACGCCCTCTCTGTCATTCCTTTCTTTACTACTGACTGAAAATGGACGAGACTTAGTGTTTGTATGCTGGGCGCTTACCTTTTTACTTTAAAAAAGGATTCTCTACCAAGTTAGAAGGTGTACTCTCTTAGAAGCAGACATGCCTGGCAAGTAAAACAAATGCTTATTTATAATTTTTGTTTGTTTGTTTATAACTAAGATCAAATAGAGAACTGGACATAAAAGTGCCAGTCATTTGTCCTGGCACTTTTATTATTGAATATATTAAAATTATTATTTTTTTTGGGGGAAGAAATACTTTATTTCTCATGTTGGCCATTTTCTTTAGTTTAATGATTTTGGAGATATATTTGCTCTACTTTGAATTTTGCTGTACAGTAGTGTGTCATTCCCTCTTAGACATTGTGGTTCTATGTAACTGAACGCTGAATGTACCAAGATTTGTCCATGTCCGACAAAACTTTGTCAAATCTTTTCCTAAAAGAATGAAATAGGAGAAATATAATGTGTCTTAAATAATTATACTGTCCATGTTTGGGTATACATCTTTACCATGTTTTACCAGGATTTTTGTATTAGCACTTTTCTAGATAATTACCTGTGTTCCTAGGCGTTGTTGAACTCAGTGAGAGTAAGTTGGTAGTACAGAGACTGCAGAGGGTTATGTGTACCTTGTAGCTTTTTTTTAAAGAGAATTTTAATATTTATTATTTAGTTTTTCGGCGGACACAACATCTTTGTTTGTATGTGGTGCTGAGCATCGAACCCGGGTCACACGCATGCCAGGCGAGCGTGCTACCGCTTGAGCCACATCCCCAGCCCTGTAGCTTGTTTGTTTATCTGCCAAGGTCAAGAGAAAGAGCCTTTTGTATCTACAGACATAGTAGACATTTCTAGGTTTCTCAATATGCATTTAAACATTGACTTAGCACCAATGACATGTGCATTTCTGGTTTTGACTGATAATATGATAATTCCATATTGAGATTATCCTGGTGTAAATTCTCTGTTGAAAATTAAGTTTAAAGTAATAGGATTGCATTGAATGATTTTAAGATCAAAGTGAAAGAAATTCTGAAATATGGTAGGTTAAATGTTTATTCAGTATTTATTCAATGCATTCATTGAACACTTATTATATGCTAGGCACATTACACTATACTGAGGATTCAGCTTATATTTCATAGCAAAGTATAAGGCATAATATTGAAAATATAGATTAGTTTTCAAGTTAATGTTACTGATCACTGAATAGTTTCTTCCACTCAGTTTTTGAGATTTAGCTTATGTTTGTCACCAGAGTAGGAAAATACTATATAGAATGTAGACTAAATTGTATTTTAAAATAAAGAGATGTTATTACTCATTGGATGGTTTGCCATTCAATTTAAAGATAACTTTCGAATGACCCAGATGAAAATCCAATTGATATGTAGCTAGATCAATCTATTTTTGTACTTAGGAATCATTGCTCTTTTTAAATATGAAAAGTAGAAAATCAAACCTGAACATACTTTAAAACTTTTGCTTTCAATTTTGCTTATTTCCCAATAACAAAGTTACAAGGAAAAGAAAAATGCAGTGGCTTTGTAATTTCTCTCCCCTACCCCCAAGATTGACCCAGTGCCAATTTTTCGCTCTAATCCCTTCCACTCATTCTTCCCCTTCCTGGTTTTTACTTATAATACCTCCTCCACCACCTGAAGGCCATTTGCATACATAATGGCCTATTGAGCCTAAATATAAGAATATTGATACTCTTCAATAACCATAGTTCATATGTCAACATCAGTAAATTTAATATTGATAGAATACCTTTATTTATTGTCCACATTGTAATTTGTCAATTAACTCAGTTATGTATGTTTTAGAATTTTTTCCCTACAGTACAGGATCCATTCTAGGATCAAATATTATATTTAATGGTTGTTTCTCTCTAGATTCTTTTAATCTGGATAGTTTATATAGAGTATCTTTTGTGACAATGACCTTTTATTTTGACATTGATAGTTTTGAAAATACAGTACTCCTGAGATTGTGTGTTCCAAGTATGCTTTAAAAATCATATTGAGCCACATTTTTTGGGGGGAATACTATTAATTAAGGTTATTTTATTTCTCTTCTTGACTTAGATTTATGTCAGGGAGAAAAAACACCCCAGCATATCTTTAAAATACTTGTCAGCTTTTATATTTTACTACCAAAATTAGAGCGTGGAATTTAGTCTATATTTAATTTATACAAAGTGAATATGTAAAATAATGCTATAGTCTAGAATTCCTGAGTAATCGTGATTAGGGTTGTTTTTAAAGCTACATATTTTAGGTTTGATTGGCATCTTGTCCCTGCATTTTTTGTCTTCTTTTCTGGTAGTATTTTGCCACCTAGTGGTCGTGCATGTCAGTCAGGATATGTCTTATGGACCCAACTGAATGCCAGATACATCCTAACATTTAAAAAAAATAAATGAATAAATTAAAAATAAATAAATAAATAAATTAGAAAGTTTGAACTTTATTGGTGACATGGAATTCTTTTTTTTTTTTTAAACCTAAAATTGAACCTAGGTACTGAGGTACATCCCTAGTCTTTTTTATTTTGAGATAGTCTAAGTCATTGAGGCTGATATGAAATTTGTGTTTCTCTGCCTCAGCCTCCTGAGGTACCAGGTGTGCACCCTGCACTTGAGGACTTGGAATTAAAGAACAGTGCTTATCCTATCATAAACGAGTTTAGTATACATGAAATTCTTAGTAAATGAAGACTTAGTATATATCTTAAATTATAATCCACTGAGTGTTAAAAATTCATTGTTCTTTTTCAATAAAAATACTTTTTATCTTTATCTTAGAAAAATGTTTTAGTAGAGTTTTCAGTCAGTCGGTATTAAAATAATTGTTACTGTGTGGTTTAGTGTCAAAACATTTCCCCCGCCCCATGGTTTTACTGTTTTCCTACTTCTTTCTAAGCAGAATGTAGGGGAGTTTTACAATGTTGTTTATATAGTCCAGGCTTATTCTAATTTAATAGAAGAAAAACACATTAGATGATAAATATTAATGAAATGATTGAAGGAAAAATGCCAAAATAGGCTGAATAATTTAGGTTTATCATTTGAAGAGTTCTTATCAAATCACAAGAACTATTTGTGCTTTCCACTGGGGTATAAATAAAATACAGAATTTTATCAATATTAGGGTTGGCAGTCTTGTGTTACTAAACATGAATAAAATGCCTTATACTCTGAAGTATTTAATATGCACATTTTAAACAGGGCCTGAAACATTTCTGTCTTGAGATTGGATGTTCTGCATAATTAATGTGAAAGATGAATTTTGAGGTTTTTAATTATACTGATTTATGATAAAGAATATTGAGAAAGTATTTCTGAATGATAGCATGCAATTACAATGACATTTTCCCGAGAAATGGATATTTTATAATGCTTTTATTTGTCGTCATTCTTTCTTCGTCACTAATGTATAATCAGGATGAGCGGGTTAGGAGAAAATTTGGATCCACTGGCCAGTGACTCACGAAAACGCAAATTGCCATGTGATACTCCAGGACAGGGGTAGGTGATTTATTTCTAGATGTTTCTCCACAGTCCTTCCCTTCTCCCCTCTGTTTTGTTTAGTTTACCATTTCAACTTTGATTTACATTCTCTCATTAGATTAAAATTTTTTTCTTAAATGTGATTTTGCTTTATATCAAGTGCAGTGAAGACGAGGTGTGGACATCTTTATGATGTGAAGGAATCAAAGATTCACATCAGAGGAATCACTGATTCAGACAGAAGGCAGAATGTTATTTTAATAGTCTGTTACTTTAAAAAGAATTTCTGGATGTACGGTATAGGAGTTAGGAATAGGTGACTGTATTATAAGTAAGAATCTTTGGTATCCTTTAAGAATATGTTGTAAGTTTCATATTTTGGCATTTAAAGGTTACATTACTTTCTTTTTCTTGAATGAAATTAGAAGCTTAACAAAATCAGAACTAAAATACTGTAATCTGTGTAGTGCTGCTCTGTAATTTTTAAAATATTTGCCAAAGCTAATGTTAACTTCAAAGTAATAGTTGAAAAAATAAAAAAATCTGTAATTCATAAAGCTTCATCATTAATAATAAGTGCCTGTTTTTGTTATTATCTGTTAGTTGTTTACCTCTACAAGGTAAAGATTGCTCCTGCCTTCCAGGTGAGGGAACTGAGGCTTGCTCTTCCCAAGGCCACCTGGCTAATAAAAAGGTGCAATTGAATTTAGCTTTGCATGAAATTCTACTGTGTTGTGCTACTTCTTCATTAACAATGATTTTATAGTTCCTGTTGGCTGAGTTTAGTTCCTTTACACTTGAAAGTAATGGTGTGTGGGGGTTGTCTCTGCTTACAGCTCTTATGGCAGGTGTGACATGGCTTTCCTCCTCTCTTGTTAGTCTTACCTGCAGTGGTGAAAAGTGGAGACGAGAGCAGGAGAGTAAATATATTGAAGAATTGGCTGAACTGATATCTGCAAATCTTAGTGATATTGACAATTTCAACGTCAAACCAGATAAATGTGCAATTTTAAAGGAAACAGTAAGACAGATACGTCAAATAAAAGAGCAAGGTAATACAAAGTAAGAAAAACTCTAAAGTCTTTGGAAGGAGTTTGTGCTGTGTTGATTTTTGTGTATGGGTGGGTGCAGAGGACAGAACCCAGGGCCTTTTGCAAGCCCCAGCCCCTGTATTTGCTGTGTTGCTACTTTTTTTTTGGGGGGGGGGCGGCACTACAAATGATTGAGGCTAGAGAGTACGATAATGGACAAGTAACTTAGCTTTTTTTAGGAAATAGTTAACAGAGAATTGGAAGGCCAGCGTCGCTATTAAAAGTTAACTGCATGGGGGTTTAGGTTGTGGTTCAGGGGTAGAGCAGTCGCCTAGCACTAGTAAGGCACTGGGTTTGATCCTCAGCACCACATAAAAATAAATAAAGGTATTGTGTCCATCTACGACTAATTAAAAAAAAAAAGTTAACGTCATTTCAGGAAGCCAATGGCTAGTACTAGTGGAAGAAAATTTAGGTATCTTCTGCTTTCCTGAGTAAATATGAAGTTTAATATTTTAAATTGTGGCATTTTCTTATCAGGAAATATTCTGTATATATATACATATATATATACATACATATACACACACACACATATATATGTATATATGTAAATAATGTGGGCATGCCTTGTGTGTGCACGCGTGCGTGTGTTTTCTGAGAACCGTTTGAAGGTAGATTTAATCTATAGCTGATATCTGTGCTATGCATAGTGCTGCCTTCTGTCTTTCCAGGAAAAGCTATTTCCAGTGATGATGATGTTCAGAAAGCGGATGTATCTTCTACAGGACAAGGTGTTATTGATAAAGACTCTTTAGGACCACTTTTACTTCAGGTAAATATAAAATATATTGCACTTTGGTTATAACATAAAGTAAAAAAGATAAAAAAAGAAAATTTTGGTTAGGAAATGAGAACATGTAGAAAACATTTCTTTCTGTGAGAACAGAAATCAATGTTCAGAATATAATAGTAAAAATTACAATGTAACATAGCTCAGAAGGTCCTGTCCCCTTAATAAAAATGGAGTTGCAAACTGATATAAAACACACACACAAACACACAGAAGTAGGAGAGAAATGGTAACCGTAATTTCACAAAGTATTTTATAGAGGCAATATTTGCATGTATTTTAGCTTAGTCTTGTGCATTTTTGTATATTTGATCATATGGCATACAGTTTTTATTTTTCACTTTTTTTTTTTTTTTTTTGTACTGCTGGGGATTGAACCCAGGGCCTCATGCCTGCTGGGCAAATGCTTTAAAACGGAGTTGACAACCCCAGCCTTCAGGTTCCATATTCTTGATAAATCTATAACATTTAAAATATGCACTGTTTTTTAAGTAGTTGTCTTAGATCTGATTACTCTTTTAACACAGAGTGCTTTACTTCAAGGCAGATCCCTTCATCAAGTTTACTTGTCATCTTGTTTTCAGCTAGTTTGTTCCAGCTGCTTTTTATCTGCTCAAGTTTTTGTTTCCTCTCTGTAAGTTTTTATTAAGGAATAGTATGTTAGTTTCTGTGGTATGATTTGATATCAAATGGAAGAGAGGAAGGAACGAAGGATGATTTTTCTCTTTTAAAAGCTCCTTTGAAAATGCAGTTCTTAAAAAAATAGGTTATACATTAATTGAGATTTATGTGGATACTACTTATCTTTTTTCCTCCCAAATTATTCTTTTTACTCTTCATAAGTCCTGTAGTAATGTTGTTAATGTTAATAGAAATGGTGGCTTATGCTTGTTTGTAGTTATTGTTACCCCCCGCCCCCCCCCCCCATATCTTTGCAAGTTCTACTTAGTAATAAGGCTGTTGTCTAAGTCTTGTAAGGCTACCAAAACAGAAGTTCACAGACTGGGAGGCTTAAACAGCTGAAATTTATTCTTGCAGTTTTGGATGCTGGAAGTCCAAGATAAAGGTGTTAGCAGGATGGGTTTCTCCTAAGTCCTCTCTCCTTTGTTTGTCACTGTGTCTTCATGTGACCTTTTCTTTTTGTGTGTATCCTTGGTATTTTCTTCCTCTCTCCTTATAAGGACACCAGTCATATGGGATTAGGATCCCACCCTTATGACCTCTTTATTCTTAATTACCCCCCCCCCCCCCCAAAAGCCTTATCTCAAAACAGTCACACTGAGGGCAAGGACTTCAGCATATGAATTTTGAGGGGATACAGTTTGGTCTATAATAGGTATTAACATATTAATTAATAGGTATTAACATCCCATTTTAGGCATTGGATGGTTTCCTGTTCGTGGTGAATCGAGATGGAAACATTGTATTTGTGTCAGAAAATGTCACACAATACCTGCAATATAAACAGGAGGACTTGGTTAACACAAGTGTGTATAATATTTTGCATGAAGAAGATAGAAAGGATTTTCTTAAAAACTTACCAAAATCTACAGGTAGGCTCTTAATGTGATTTTCTAAATATTTAAACAATTTTAAAAAAATGATTTCTAAGAAAATTGAATATACTTTTTAGAAATGTAGGGATTAGAGGTAAGTGGTTAATTAAGTTTTTAGATATGGTCTCAGTAAATTTCATGGGGTCAAAACATACAGTGAGGGGCTGGGGTTGTGGCTCAGCAGTAGAGCACTCGCCTAGCACGTGCAAGGCCCTGGGTTCGATCCTCAGCACCACATACAAAAAAATAAATAAATGAAATAAAGGTATTGTGTCTGATTACAACTAAAAAATAAACATTAAAAAATATACAGTGATATTTCTGTTGAAGTTGAAATTATTCAAATGTTTTTTATCTTACCATTCTAAAATGTTAGCATAGGCATTACCATGGAAAATATATGTAATGAGAAAACATAGTTGAAATTTTTTTTGGGGGGGGGGCGGGGAGAGACAGAGTCTTGCTATGTTGCTCTGATTGACCTTAACCTGGTGGGCTCAAGTGAATCCTCCAGAGTAGCTGGGATTATAGGTCTGCACCATCATGCCTGGTTTATCACTTGAATCCCTTTTTTCTTTCTTTTGTGTTTTTCTCTTGTTTTCCTCCTTTCTCCCCTTCCTTCCATTTATTCCCCCCTTCCTTCTTCTTCTTTTCCTTTTTTAAAAAATATTTTTAGTTATTTCTTGTTTAGTGATTTTCTTTTTTTAATTTATTCTTTTATGTGGTGTTGAGGATTGAACCCTGTACTTCACACATGCTAGGCAAGCGCTCTACAACTGAGCTGCACCCTAGCCCCTTTCCTTTCCATTTTGAATCCAGGGTCTTGTGCATGCTAGGTAAGCACTCTGCTACCCATAGCATGAATTCTTGATGATACTCTTGGATTGAGTTTTTAGATTTTTAAAAAGTTATTTCCACTTATTTTCCAAAGTTAATGGAGTTTCCTGGACAAGTGAAACACAGAGACAAAAAAGCCATACATTTAATTGCCGTATGTTGATGAAAACAACACACGATATTCTGGAAGACATGAATACCAGTCCTGAAATGCGCCAGAGATACGAAACAATGCAGTGCTTTGCCTTGTCTCAGCCACGAGCTATGATGGAGGAGGGGGAAGGTAAGAGCAATCAGATTTATGATATTTATGAAACACAGCAGCAAACTTGGAGCATATGGCTTCCATTGCTGTAACTTCATACTGTAGTTCATGTCCTTGTTCACCTGCAATAGATATGTCCCAAAATAAATAGAATCCTTATTTGATCATATTTTTGATTGTAGATTTGCAGTCCTGTATGATCTGTGTGGCTCGTCGCATTACTACAGGAGAAAGAGCATTTCAGTCAAATCCTGAGAGCTTTATTACTAGACATGATCTTTCAGGTAAAACTGTGCGTGTGTGTGTTTTGTATGTTTTCATTTTGGAAATTGTTAAAAAGTTAACTTAGTCTACATTATCATTTTAATGCTTATATCCTCTATGATGAATTAAAAAAAATTTTTTTAGTTGTAGATAGACAAAATATTTTTATTTACTTCTTTTATATGGTGCTGAGGATTGAACCCAGTGCCTCACACATGCGAGGCAGGTGCTCTACCACTGAGCCACAACCGCAGCCCCGTGATGGATGTTTTAAGTATATTATATCCTGTGTTTCTTACATAGACCTAAGGGAATTAATTTCACTAAAACTCTTGGCATTTGTGTTGAATCTATTTGTCACTTAAAATCCCCCCCCCCCCCAAAAAAAATTAAAAAGCAAAAGTAGGGGCATCTGGCTTTTTCTCCAAGTAACAAGTTTTTTTGGTACCCCCAGCCCTATTTTGTATTTTGTTTAGAGACCGGGTCTCACTGAGTTGCTTAGTGCTTCCATGTTGCTGAGGCTGGCTTTGAATGCGCAATCCTCCTGAGCCACTGAGATTATTGGTGTGCACCACTGTGCCCAGCTCCAAATAGCATTTTGTTCCATAAGTTAGTATTTCTTTAGCTTCAAAAGCATGTATTAAAAGAAAGAAGTTTTCAAAAGTACAGGTAATTTAATGAGAGTTACTATTACTATATAATTATTGGCATCAAAATGAGCTGCAATCTTTTGTGTGTGTGGGTACTGAGGATTGAACTTAAGGACACTTCATCACTGAGCTAAATCCTTAGTCCATTTTATTTTTTATTTTAAGGCAGGGTCTTGCTAATTTGTTTAGGGCTTCACTAAGTTGCTGAGGCTATCCTTGAGTTTGAAATCCTTCTGCCTTAGCCTCTAGAGTTGCTGAGATTATAGGTTTGTTCCACTGCCTGGTTGAGCTGCAGTCTTGGTCTGCCATTTTTTTTGAATGTGGGAATTGAGAGTTAAAGACATTACTGTTGAGAAGGTACATTGGGGAACTTAAACATGGTAGAAATATTACTTGTGTTCATCTTCAGGGTTGCTCTTGTGACCATTTAACCTCTAAGCATGATGTGAAGTGTTTGTCATACCTGCATCATCTCAGAGATTGGAAATGGAAGTCTGGTGATATAGGTGATGTGTTTGGGTTATTGTCCAAGATCATGGCTAATAAGAGAATTTGCACTGTGTCTGCTTGACTTAAAAGTCTATAGTTTTGGCTTTGTGTAACACTGATTTTATACACCGATTGTGAACCCTCAATAAATGATTTAATTAAGTGGAGTAGTTTAAACAAAGCATAGCTCTGGCTATTATAGGGGTGTGTGTGTGTGTGTGTGTATGTATCATATATCTGTGTACACACATGTAATGCATATATCATATTTTATAAATTTAGTTATTTTTACAGTCACTTGATCTTCTTATGTCATGCCCAGTTGTCTTGAGGATGCTTGGTATTGATTATCACAAGTGAAAGAAGTAGCAAAAATGAAATTTGTGTTTTGAATTGTCAATTTGTTTACATCAATGGATATTAATTTATATTGGAAAAATTTCTCTGTATTTACTTGCCTTCTAATAATATGGTAACAGGCATTTTTGTGTTATTTTAGAGTGGGCCTTTCTCTACACTTCTTAGGATTTGGCAGATTTAATTTTCTCTCTAAATAACTTAGTAGCATCTTTAAAAAATTATCTAGTGCTTTCTTTTATTATAAAAGCAAAATACGTTTATTATAAAAATTAGAAATCACCAAACAATAAAATCAAGTCCTTTTGTCTGGATAATATTATTTAGAACTGAGAGTCATCTTTGCAAATTTATAATTGGTGCCTTCCAGTTACTCTGTGTTTTACAGCAGGTTTGTTGGCGCTCAACAATTTTTTTTTTTTTTTAAACCTATAGAGATATTTTCTCCTCTGTCCCTGATGTGTTTCATTCAGTAAACTCTTTCTGAGCTTCTATTTTATGTTTGATATGTGTCTCAGGGCTAAATTCAGAGGAAGTGGTTGAGGACAGATCTTTCCTATTTTATGTACACAAGGCACAGTTATTTACTGTTCCCTGTAATGTATTTGATCTTTCTTCAGAGTTGTGTCTCCTCCATCCCTTTGCACTAATAAGATCTTTTTAAAAAAATATGGAATGCTTCACAAATTTGAATGTTATCCTCACACAGGGGCCACCTAATCTTCTCTGTGTCATTGCAACTTTAATACAAGTGCTGCCAGAGCAAGCACAAGATTTTTTAGTCACCATTAAAACTCTGAATTTTAAGAATAGGGAGTGTAGTTCAGTAGTAGAGCCTAGCATGCTCAAGGCCTTGGGTTTGATTCCCAGATTCTTGGACTGCTGGTTTTATTTTTGTTAGCTCATTTTGCATTAGTACCTTTCTCCCCTCTAGTAGCTTTCCCAGAACTACCTTTCGCTATGAATTTCTGTGAGTTTTCTCAGTTTAAACTTGGTTTTCTTCAGCATGTTTTCTATTACACATACAGAGAGAATGAATCAACGGAACAGTTTGGAATCAACTTATTAAGTACTTCTTACAAGTATTTGTACCTCTTTAGTCATGATTTCCACATTTTTAGGATTTGTAGTCATACGGTGGTGAATGTAAGAGGTCTCCTTGTTCTGATTATTGCATTTTTTGGTAAAACCTGCACAGAATAGATAGGCAGGTATAGGTAGTCTTGACATCAACATGAGGTTCAATCATAGTCTTCCAATTTTTGACCATGGAACACATTTTTTTCTTGACCAAGATCCATGTCATGGAAGTTGATCACCCATTTTTTGCTCTGGACATCCTGGGTAATTAGTTTGAATTGTTTAAATGCAACTTTATTGTTCTGCAGATTTATTAAGGTTTATTCTCCTTGAGAGCTTCCATACCCTCTCTAGACACTTACCATCTTCCCCTTACCTTGATGTATTTGCCAAACTGGAAGCTCCTCAAATCTTTTGTTTTTAGAACACACCCCACCTCCCTTGTGGAATCAGTGGAAGTGGTTGAAATTTCCAGTCCTGTAATCACTTTGTCCTGTTAGTGACCAGCCCCAATCCAAGGCTATCTAGGAGTACTATATTAAATCACCTTATTAGAATAGATGCAGATGATCAGAGAGACTCCTTATGAATCATTAAAATGTTCATAAAGACTCTTAGTAAGAAATTCAAGGATTTTAGGAGTTTTGCATCAGGAACAGGATCAAGACAAATATATTATCATACTCCACAGCAGAATGTGTAGATCCATGTGAGAGTATCCTGTAGGACCATGCTCTTAAGGAGAAAAGATGCATAACAGAAACTTGGACCAGAGAAAATAAAGATCTTGTATTTCATTCTTTAATGCTAATCAATGGCTAGGCAGTGGTAAATACTTGTGGGTGGGATTTAAAACTTTATTTTTTGTATAATAGGGAAGGTGGTCAATATAGACACAAATTCACTGAGATCCTCCATGAGGCCTGGTTTTGAAGATATAATCCGAAGGTGTATCCAGAGATTTTTCAGTCTTAATGATGGCCAGTCATGGTCCCAGAAACGTCACTATCAAGAAGGTAAAGACATTTGGGGCTGATTCTTGGTCTCGTCATTATGTTAGGTATATGTAAAGCACTACACATGCACCATGGCGGTCATCTTGTGGGCGTGGGGGAGAGAAGTGATCCTTGAACATACTTAGATTTTGTTGTTAATTTTACTAGAGTTGTTACATACACAGAGGTTAACCTGGAAAAAACCTCTTTCACTGGTTTAAAACCCTTTGCATTGAGATATACAATTCCTTCCTCTCTTCTCCTTATGTGTACTTGTTTTGCCAACTGTAGTTAGTAGTAATAGTATATTTTTCCTACAGCTTATATTCATGGCCACGCGGAAACCCCAGTGTATCGATTCTCGTTGGCTGATGGAACTATAGTGACTGCACAAACAAAAAGCAAGCTCTTTCGGAATCCTGTGACAAATGACCGTCATGGCTTTGTCTCAACCCACTTTCTTCAGAGGTAATGATGAATTACTGTGTATTTGCATGTTAAATGCAACCATGTTTTCAGGGTGATTTATTATTACTGTAAGAAGAGTAGAAATTTAATGAGAGAAAAAGCAGGCAGGCTGTTGAATTTGGTGAGATGAGTTAGATTCGTAGATTCTATTTCCTTTAGGGTTATATGTTATGTAAAAATGAGTATTTAAAAAATTTGTTATTTTTATTCTTTTTAGGTATACATACAGTAGAATGTATTTTGACACATTATACATATGTGTAGTATCCCATTCTAAAAATGAGTATTTGTTTACTAATTAAATACTTCCTAGTCAGAAGTAGGGTGGGAAGGCTGGTGCATAAAAGCACATAAAACCCGATTACCTCTGATTACCTTTCTTTTTTTTTCTCTCTTTTTTGGGTACCAGGGGTACTTGAGCACTGAGCCACATCCCCAGCCCTATTTTGTAGTTTAGAGACAGGGTCTCACTGAGTTGCTTAGCACCTTGCAATTGCTGAGGCTGGGTTTGATCTTGCAATTCTCCTGTCACAGTCTCCTGAGCCGCTGGGATTACAGTCGTGTGCCACCGTGCTCCGCTGATTACCTTTCATTTCTAAGATAATATATTACATTGCTTTTAAGAAATGAATTTAAAATTGGAAGGTACACTTCTGGATATGTAGCAACTCTAGTAAAGCCTCTGAGGTTGCAATTAACATAGCTGTTGCTTCCTCACAGTGGTATGGTGCTATCATTTATTTAGACTCTTTGGCTTATTAAAAAATATATTACTAGGTTAATTTGTGACCAGTGTCTAAATTGGATTTGTCACCAGCTATAGAGTGGTGCCTAAAAGAAGTTATGTTCCTGGACACTTTTCTTCCCCTAAATCTTACTCAGGGCTTCAATGCATGCCTGTACTTTTTAGTAAAAGTTTGATATTCTGTTTCTTTGCAGAGAACAGAATGGGTATAGACCAAACCCAAATCCTGTGGGACAAGGCATTAGACCTCCTGTAGCTGGATGCAACAGTTCAGTAGGAGGCATGAATATGTCACCAAACCAAGGATTACAGATGCTGAGCAGCAGGGCTTACGGCTTGACAGACCCCAGTGCCACAGGGCAGATAAGTGGAATGAGGTATGGGGCTTCCGGTAACATAGCCTCATTGACCCCTGGGCCAGGCGTGCAGTCACCATCTTCCTACCAGAATAATAACTATGGGCTCAATATGGGTAGCCCCCCACATGGCAGTCCAGGTCTTGGCTCCAACCAGCAGAGCATCATGATTTCTCCTCGAAATCGTGGGAGCCCGAAGATGGCGTCACACCAGTTTTCTCCTGTTGCAGGTATCCATCTCAGCATTTTCTTTTTCTTTCTATACCACTTCAATTCTTACACAGCGAATTAGTTTTATAATGGAAACCTTGACGTAGCCTTTTGTTTTAGTCTGATAGTACCTCTTGTTTTTTTCTCCAACAAATCCAGGTGTGCACTCTCCCATGGGGTCTTCTGGCAGCACTGGGAGCCACAACTTTTCTAGCAGCTCTCTCAGTGCCCTGCAAGCCATCAGTGAGGGTGTGGGCACTTCCCTTTTATCTACTCTGTCTTCACCAGGCCCCAAGTTGGATAACTCGCCCAATATGAATATAACGCAACCAAGTAAAGTGACCAGTCAAGATTCCAAGAGTCCCCTAGGTTTGTACTGTGATCAAAATCCGGTAGAGAGCTCAATGTGTCAGTCAAATAGCAGAGATCACCTCAATGACAAAGAAAGTAAGGAGAGCAGTGGTGAAGGGTCAGAGAATCAACGGGGTCCTTTGGAAAGCAAAGGTCATAAAAAGTTACTGCAGTTACTGACCTGCTCTTCTGATGACCGAGGTCATTCTTCCTTGACCAACTCCCCTTTGGATTCAAGTTGTAAAGACTCTTCTGTTAGTGTCACCAGCCCCTCTGGAGTCTCCTCCTCAACATCAGGAGGAGTGTCCTCCACATCCAATATGCATGGGTCACTGTTGCAAGAGAAACACCGTATTTTGCACAAGTTGCTGCAGAACGGGAATTCACCAGCTGAGGTAGCCAAGATTACTGCAGAAGCCACTGGGAAAGATACCAGCAGTACTACTACTTGTGGTGAAGGAAACGTCAAGCAGGAGCAGCTAAGTCCTAAGAAGAAGGAGAACAATGCACTTCTTAGATACCTGCTGGACAGGGATGATCCTAGTGATGCGCTCTCTAAAGAACCCCAGCCCCAGGTGGAAGGAATGGACAATAAAATGAGTCAGTGCAGCAGCTCCACCATTCCCAGCTCAGGTCAAGAAAAAGACTCGAAAATTAAGACAGAAACAAGTGAAGAGGTAATTTTATTTTTTTCCTATATTCCAGCTCAGTCATCTGTCTTATTTCTGTTAGAAATATAATATATACAAATCCTTATTTTCTAATTTAAGATTTATTTAAGGAAAGTTAATAGTGAGCTTTCATTTTTTTATAATTCTTTTGGACATCAGTAAAATATTATGATGCAACAGAGAAATATATGTTTCTTCTGAAATGTGACTGATTCTTTTTAAAATATTTATTTAATATTTAGTTGTAGTTGGACACAATGCCTTTATTTTAGTCATATATTTTTATGTGGTTCTGAGGATCGAACCCAGGGTCTTGCACGTTCGAGGCAAGCACTTTATTGCTGAGCCACAACCCCATAATCATGACTGATTCTTTAATGGACAATTTGAAAATTTGTCCATTAATTTTTTTTTTCATGGAGGTGTTGAGATGAGCAGATTGGGCCATCAATGGTATGGTAGATGTAATCAGGAAAAAACAAAGAGTTTTGATTTTTATCAGAGTTTTGAAGTTTCATGTACATGATCATATTCTGGGTCAGCATTTTCCAGCCTCACTGGAGGAACCGTGCTCTAGGAGGTATAATATGAACCTGAGCAAAGGCAAGACTTGCCAAAGTCTTCTGGTTAGAGTATGGATTTTACTTTGTTTAACCTATTGTTCACCAGATTTATTGATCAAAGCCTTTTTAAAGATCATGCCCAAAATTATCTCGTTGAACACAAGCATGTGTTTATGTGTTTACTGTTAATCATATTTGTTTATAGAAGGTATGTGTAGAGCAGACCTCTGTCAGCCAAGGGGATCAGTTCTCTCCTAGTGACTGCTGGAAAATATCTTCCAGTGTGAAAATTAAATGCGTAGCCTAAGGGGAAAAACAATGCTCTATCGAACACCCCAAATCAGTAATTTTTCTCAGTGGTTCAAATTGTTCATAATTTTAAGGAAGAAGATTAGGGGTGGGAGAGTCATAAGAAAACAACCTTTAAACTGGGCCTAATAATTTCAGGTAATTATTGTATTTCATTTGCTCCCATCTCATGTGTTTTCTTCTGATGAATATATTTGTAGCTGTACATCTTGTGTTGCACACAGGTTAATTCTTAAATTTTTATTTTCAGGGATCTGGAGACTTGGATAATCTAGATGCTATTCTGGGTGATCTGACTAGTTCTGACTTTTATAATAATCCCTTATCCACAAATGGCAGTCATCTAGGGACCAAGCAACCAATGTTCCAAGGAACAAATTCTCTGGGTAAGGAAGAACTAGATTTTGTTTTGAAACATTGCTGCATATGTATGGATGCTCACACCAAGACCAGGATATAAATAACATTTATAACTTCAGTACACATGCTCTACGTATCAGTTTCTTATGCAGATGCATAATATATGAGTTCTAAAAAGCTTTTTGCATGTTTTTCTTTTTGAGAAAATTTGTAATTATTATGCCAGTAATCATTCATTTGAGTAGCTGGTACTATGGCATGTTTTCCTTAAGCCTCAGAGAATTGGATTGAAAAAAAAAACAACCCAAATTGTAGATTAAAACCTGTCCTTTGGTGAGTTTTCTTTTTTGACGTTTTCGGATTCTTACCTATGTGCTTTCCTATTGCTGTATGTTTTACTCATTCATCAATTTATTTATTTACTTATTGTGATTTTTCTTTTTCTTTTTTATTTTTATTTGTTCTAATTAGTTATACATGACAGTAGAATGCATTTTGATATATACATAAATGGAACACAACTTCTCATTCTTTTGGCTGTACATGGTGCTCTGAGTCACTCCAGTAGTGTAATAATATCTCTCATTCTACTGTCCTTCTCACTCCCATAGCCCCACCCCTCCCCCCATTCCCCTCTACAGAAACCAAAAGTTTCTTCACCCCCTCCCACCCCCATGGATCAGTATCTACTTATCAGAGAAAATATTTGGCTTTTGGTTTTTTAGGATTGGCTTATTTCACTTAGCATGATATCCTCTAATTTCGTCCGTTTACCTGCATATGCCATAATTTCATTGTTCTTTAAGGTTGAGTAATATTCCGTTGTGTATATGTACCACATTTTCTTTATTCGTTCCTCTGTTAAAGGGCATCTACACTAGTTCCATAGTTTAGCTGTTGTGAATTGAGCTGCTATAAACATTGATGTGGTTGCGTCACTGTAGTATGCTGATTTTTAAGTCTTTTATTGTAGTATGCTGATTTTAAGTCCTTTAGGGGTATAAACCAAAGAGTAGGGTAGCTGGATCAAATGGTTGTTCCATTCCAAGTTTTCTGTCACTTGGTATGTTGTGTGTATCAGTTGAAAAGGAATAATTTACAAGTAAGTATTCAGAACGGTCTAATTGATTTTTAGTGGCAGGGTTTTCTAAACTGAAATAGATCAGTTGAATAGATTGGAAAAGAAAAGAGAAAGTTTAGGAGGATTTTTGTATTGTTTTGATTAGATAATAATAACTGGTTATAATAATTGCAAAATATAAGCAGAATATACTTAATGAGTACTCATCTGGAATATTCTCCAGGAGTTTAAAACATTGGTGATTCTTCCTCTTCCTTTCTCTCCCTCCTCCTCTTGAATCCAGGGCCTCATGCCTGCTGAGCATGCATTCTATCTCTCAGCTAAATCCTCAGACTCGCAAATTCTTCAATATGGAGTAAAGCAGAATATGAATGATCATATCAGGCTGTGTGTGTGTGTGTGTGTGTGTGTATAAAAATAAATAAAGAGTGCCCAGCTCTTGGGCCAACATTGAAGTTGTGGTTTCTACTTTATTTGGAATACAGGCTTTTTTTTTTTTAATATAGTCTTTATCTTCTAAAGGAAGATAGTGTTTGCTTTTGTGAGAAAGACATTTGTGTTTGTGGGGATGGGTATGTTTATATGTTATACTTGATTATTTATGTATTAAATTAGCAAGGGATATTTACGTGTTGTGCTTATGTGTTCCCAGTAGGTTTGAGAAGCCCACAGTCTGTGCAGTCTGCTCGTCCTCCGTATAACCGTGCAGCATCTCTAGATAGCCCTGTTTCTGTTGGCTCAAGTCCTCCAGTAAAGAATATCAGTGCTTTCCCCATGCTAGCAAAGCAGCCTGTGCTGGGTGGGAATCCAAGGATGATGGATAGTCAGGAAAATTATGGCTCAAATATGGGTAGGTTATTCGTAATTAGTATTTAGGATTAAAAATTTCTTTTGGGAAAAGCAAATTTAAAATACTTAAAGTCATGTAGATAATTGGGATTGATTAACAAGTTTTATAATATTAACGTGTTACTTTCATGAGTATCCTTTGTTTATTTTATGTCTTGTTTATTTAAACTCTTGAAGAATCTTTTGGTCTAAGACATTTTTCTAGCATGTAATGTCTTCATAGTTGTCTAGTCCTGTTCTTACGATGTCAAAGCCAGTGTTGTATCTAAATAGCTATAGTAGTTTGATATAAGGAGGATTGTGTTATGCTGTGGAAAAATCCTAATAATTTTCTACCTGTTTCAGGTGGACCAAACAGAAATGTGACACTGAACCAGACTCCTTCTCCAGAGTGGGGCTTACCAAACTCAAAGGCCAGTAGAGTGGAACCTGTGAGTTCTAACTCCATGGGAAGACCAGGAGATTACAGTGCTGCTTTACCCAGACCTGCAATGGGGGGCTCTGTGCCCACTTTGCCTCTTCGGTCTAATAGTATACCAGGTGCAAGGCCAATGTTGCAGCAGCAGCATCAGCAGCAGCAACAGCAGATGCTTCAAATAAGTAAGTGTCTCCTTCATTTAAAAATAAAAAAGGTGTTTTAGGGTGATTTTACTACTGGCTTATTGGAAAATTTGTACTTTCGTTTTGTTCCCCCAGGGCCTGGTGAGATTCCCATGGGAATGGGGGTCAATCCCTATGGCCAAGCAGCACCAGCTAATCAACCAGGTTCCTGGCCAGATGGCATGCTGTCCATGGAACAGGGGCCCCATGTGCCTCAAAATAGGTGAGCCTTTATTTTGTGACTCTGAAGAAGATCCATATTGGATTATCTAGAAAAGAGTCAACATTGGAACAATTCTGAGAGAGAAGGTGAAAAATTCTCCTAAGTAAGGTGGTTGGTTGCCATCCATTTGAAGTAGCAAGCAGAGGCCTTCAAGGGAAGGGGAGGAGCCGGAAGTGCCCTGTCCTGCTGTCAGGACTTCTTAGAAGTCAGACTTCTGAGAGCCTCTCTGTGAGGTGATTGTCTTTCATAATGATAATCTCATGAGGAGGGGAATAAATGAGCCACAGTTTGACAAGATAAATCTGTTTATACATAGTGTTCAGAGAGTAAGCCTCAAGTTTTTCTGAAAATTGATTTTTAAGCAATGGCTAATGATTTTTCTAAAACATTTCAGGGATAATGGTAAAGTGCTCTTCTATAGTTTTGTAAAAGAAAGATGTGGCTTACTTAATGCCCTCCACGTGCTGGAGAATAGTCACACACCTCACTGTGGGGGTGTGGGCTTGTGTCATACTTGCGACCAAGCCTTGTGGGCAAGTATAACGAAGTTATCTTTAGCAGTTCTCTACACCACAGTTATATAGATCAATATTTTGATCTTTTTCTTTGTTGTTTATTGATTTCCTCAGTTTTCTTTTCGTTTTTTTTTTTGTTCTGATTCCCCCAATTTTCAAGTATCATTACTAATGACTACCACCTCCACTCTTGCCTTGAAAACTGCTCCCTCTCCATTCTCTCCAACCCCTCTCACCCCATTACTCCTATCTCCCAAATACCTAGGGTTTTGCAGTTTCACTTGGGTGGTGGGATTGTGGGTATAAGATATATGTGGTGGGGGCTGGGGATATAGCTCAGTTGGTAGAGTGCTTGCTTTGTACGCACAAGGCCCTGGGTTCAGTCCCCAGCACCACACATGTGTGCGCATGCACACACACACACACACACACACAACACACACATATACAAAAGATATATGTAGTGGGCCTTAAATATAAATTAAGGCCATTTGCTATTCTCTATTGCTTGGTTTATTATTTGTACTTATATGGGAATTATTATATGTTAAAAATATATTGAAATATTATGCATGGTTACTATAATTATTTTTATTTTATTTTTTGTGGTGCTGGGGATTGAACCCAGGGCCTTGTGCATGCGAGGCAGGCACTCTACCTACTGAGTAATATCCCCAGCCCTACTGTTGTCGTTGTTATCGTTGTTATTATTATTATTATTATTATTGGTACTGGGGATTGAACTCAGAGACTCTTGACCACTGAGCCACATCCCCAGCCCTATTTCGTATTTTTTTTAGAGACAGGGTCTCACTGAGTTGCTTAGTGCCTTGCTTTTTGCTGAGGCTGCCTCAGCCTTCCAAGCCTCTGGGAATACAGGTGTGCGTCATACCCGGCCCTACTGTCATTATTTTTAAAAATAGAAATAACACCTTTAATATGGTTTGTGTTCTGGGGATCAAACCCAGGACTGAAAACATACTGAACAAGTGCTCTACTACTGTGCTACACCTCCCGCCCAACAACATTAAAATTGATTGCAAGTCTTTTTCTAGACCTCTTCTCAGGAATTCCCTGGATGATCTCCTTGGGCCACCTTCTAACCCAGAAGGCCAGAGTGATGAGAGAGCATTGTTGGACCAGCTACACACACTCCTGAGTAATACAGATGCCACAGGCCTGGAGGAAATTGACAGAGCTTTGGGCATTCCTGAACTTGTAAATCAGGTAAGTTGTATTAATATGGAAATAGGAGAGTGCGTGTGATGCACACACATGAAGCCAAGCACAGGAATGCTTGTGTCTTTCTTACTATTTTTGTTACATTACTATATGTGTGGATAGCAGCATTAAATTTAGAATATGTATTTTATGATTGTATTGTTATTTCTAACAACCTACTTTTTAAAAAAGATTTACATTTTAGACGACTATAGAAATGATCCAATAAAACTACTATATAGGGCTGGGGTTGTGGCTCAGTGGCAGAGCGCTTGCCTAGTATGTGTGAGGCACTGGGTTTGATTCTTAGCACCACATATAAATAAAATAAAGGTCCATCAACAACTTAAAAAAAAAAAAAACCCTACTATATGGTTTTTTAGATGCTACTTGCAGTCAGTCTCTCGCTCTCTCTCGCTCTCTGTCACCAGTGATTGAACCTAGGGGCACTTAACCACTGAGTCACATCTCCAGCACTTCTTATTTTGTGACAGGGTTTTGCTAAGTTGCTTAAGGCCTTGCCAAATTGCTGAGGCTGGCAGGGAACTTGCGATCATTCTGCCTTGGCCTCCCGACTTGCCAGGATTACAGGCATGTGCCTTCACGCCCAGCCAAGAGGTCTCATTTTTACACCCACTTTTCTTGACAACTTAGCTAACCAGTGAGTACGCTGAGAAGCAAGCTGTCTTTATGTTGGTTGTACAGAATACATTTGCAGTGGTAAACCTTGAGTCTTCCAACGTCATCCTCTCCTATTCCTTTTTACATACCTGACTGTATGAAAATATGCCATTCACAAATCTGTTTTTGAAACAAGCAAATTTTGTAGTGACTATTTTTATTTTAAAAGGTATCTGTGCATTTAAGAATAAGCAGGAGACCTCAGGGCATTCTCATTCTTTTGTCAGGGAGACAGATATGTACATAAGGAATTGAACGATAATGTTGGAAACACTGTCAGAAATTTTTATTTTTTTAATTTTTTAAATTTTTGTACTGAGGATTTAACCCAGAGGTGCTTTATCACTGAACTAGATTCCCAGCCCTACTCTATCTATCTATCTATCTATCTATCTATCTATCTATCTGTCTGTCTGTCTTTATGTGGTGTTGGGGCTTGAACCAAGTACTCTCACGTGCTAGGCGACCGCTCTACCGCTGAGCCCCAGCCCTGGTCCCACCTTATTTATTTATTTATTGTGGGGCTGGGGATTGAACCCAGAGCCTTGTGCATGCAAGGAAAGCACTCTACCAACTGAGCTATATCCCCAGCCTACCTTTTTATATTTTGAGACAAGGTCTTACTAAGTTACTGAGGCTGGCCTTGAGCTCAAGATCCTCCTCAGCTTTTTGAGTAACTGGGATTACAGGTATGGTCACCATGCCTGGCTTACAGAACTTTTAAAAAGGTGAATGGGAAACACTGAGCAGTTGTGACAATACGCTTCCAGGGATATCAATGACATCTGATTCTGGCACTGAAGAGCATGTCAAACTTCATCTAGGGGTATGTGAGTGATGCCCAGAGATCAAGAAGCTTGAGCCAGGCATGGTTATGCACACCTGTAATTGCAGTGGCTTGGGAGGCTGAGGCAGAAGGATTGTGAGTGCAAAGATAGCCTTAGCAACTTGGTGAGGCCCTAAGCAACTCAGTGAGACTCTGTCTCTAAATAAAATATGAAAAAAGGGTTGTGGATGTATGGCTCAGTGGTTAAGTGCCCTTGGGTTCAATTACCAACACCCCCCGCAAAAAGCTGGAACTGTCATTTAAAATGGTAATTTAAATTGGAAATTGCTTTCTTTGTCCTGATGTTGAAATTAGTGATTGGTAAGTAAAATTTTGATAATTGCAAAAAGTATGTTGAAAAAAGCTAATAGTGGCACAGGGAGAATCATTAGTAACTTGCTGGCTTATAGTGCTTTCAGATTTTAAAAAGGTATACATGAAAATATTCATGAGTGTACATTTTTTTAAAAATGAGAGACTTCAAAATGCTTTTGTAATCAGTTTTGCTTTCTGAAAAGCATCATTGTCAGTCATATTTTTCTTTAACATATACATCTTTAATTTTATGGCCAAATTTAAAAATTTCGAACACTATTAATCAGTCTTCTATCAGTGAAATATTAAATTGTTCTTAGTATTCTATATCATAAATAATTCTATGAATTACCCAGGTCTCATTCACTGATTCTACTTCCTTAGTTACAGTCTAAGAAAGGATTAGTGGGTAAGAGTCTACATATTTTAAAGGTTTTGCTCCTTATTTTCAGGTTGCTTTATAGCAGATGATACTAGCTCCTTTCCTCTAACAGTGTGATAGGAGTTCTTCATCATTACTCTGCTGGTGTGGCTCTGATAGGTGAAGGAACACAGTATGAGCAAGTGACTAAACAAATACTGAGCATGATTACTATGATTTTTTAATTATATTTTATAGTGTAGGCAATCAAACCCCAGGCCTCTTAACATGCTAGGCAAGTGCTTTACCCCTGAGCTATACCCCTAAACTATGATTATTTTCTTAAATCTTTGCCAGTCTGATAAGATAAAAAAGGATTGTTTTAAATTGTAATTCTTTGTTTTGCAAGATGAAATATCTTTTGTGTTTATTGGTCATTGTGTATGTGTTTTCATAGTTTTTGGCTAGGTTTTTAACTTGTTGATTTACAAGAGTTCTTTATGCAATATTCTTTACCTGACTCACAATGGGGCAGCTCTCAATTTTTTTGACTTTTGATGGTGCAAAGGCAGTGTACGTTCACTAGAAACTGAATTCTGATCTTTTTCCAAACTAAGGATATGTGGTATGATACTCAGAATGGTGGGCAGCAAATGTTACAGTTGCTTTAGTTCCCTCTTTGGTGGGGGCTGATTTTAATTTTGTTATTTAGTTTGTTTTCAAATTCAGAATAGCTCTTTTTGGGCAGTGACATTTAAATTGACCCCTGATGATAAGAAGGAACCAGTTGTGCAAAGTGCGACAGGAAGAACATCCAGAAGAGGAACAGCAAGTTCAGAAGTCCTTTGGCAGTCAAGAACTTGGGGTTTCAGAAAGGGACTGAAAGTAGGATCAGAGAGGAAGTGATGATGATGGAGAGGCAGGAGGTGCCAGGTTCCATAAAGCCAGGAAGGGGTCTGGGAATGCTCTGCTGCATGGCAAAGCCAGGAAAGCCTTTTAAGCAGGATGGTGATGAGACCTGCTTTCCTTGTTTATTTTCCTAAAAATAAAAATTAATTAAAAGAATCTACATTTGTAACTTAAAAATATAATTATTTGTATATAAGTAAATGTACACAGTTTACTTGCCCTCTTCTGAAGTTGTACAAACTCACTTCTTTATTTTGTCATATTTCTTAGTAACAGCTATTTCTTTATTAACTTCAATCTGTGTCTTTTGAATTCCTGATGTCACAGTGATTATGTACTTATAGCCCCTTATCTGAGAATCTTGGGGTCAAATATGCTTTGGAATTCAGGAATGTGTGGATTTTAGAAAGAGCATATATACCTGGTATTGCATGCTCTGACCTCTGGTGGAGTTTTGAGTAATAGTGTTGTTTTGGGCAGTTGTTTGTGACCAAACAGGCTAATCCATCTGTGGAAAAATATAGAATTAATTAGTTACACTAAATGTGAAGATAGATGTATTGTTGCAATGTAAGTTTAGTTCAGGTTTTACTGAGTATGTTTTTTGTTTGTTGTGTTGGGGATCCCCCCCACCCACCACCTTTACACTTTCTTCTTAATTGGAAATCTTTTATTGTCCATTGCATTTGGTAGCTGGACTGGGAGGCCAGTGGATGATCTTATAGTATAGAAAATTTATTACAAAGTACAAATAGGAAAATAGAAAAGTTCCTGTTTTCAGCTTCTGCTTCCCCCTGCCCTTTGTTGTGCTTGTGTCCCTGAACCCAGCCTGGGGGCACGGGGGTGGGGGGGGGTGCTGCGTGGCAGGTAGAAGAAAGAACCACTTGAGGAGTCTAGGGATAGGCAGGGAGGAGTTGATCCCCTCATCTATACCAGGCTCCTAAGCAGCTGCCTGTTTGAACTGTCTCATCCTCTCTATTGCCTGGTGGAGTCTCCGTTTGTTCCTGGGCTTCACATGCTCACTGTTTTTCCTCTTCAGGCACGTTAGGTCTAAGTTTCTCTGTTCTGTTCACTCTCTGTCTTCCAAAAACCTGTTGAAATATTTGGTTATGTTGTTTCCTTATTTTGTGGCTAAATGTGACCTCTTAAATTCTTCAGTGCCATTTTAGTAGAGTTAGCAGGACAAAGGTGTTGATTTCAAGTGTGATTTACTTAATTAAGAGACATCTGGTGTCTTTCCAGAGAAGGGAGCCGGTCTGATGGGACAGAGTAGAAGCACCAATGTCAGGTACTGCAACGCTTCTAAAAAGTATTGGAAAAGGTCTGCACAAAGGAATGTAGAGGAAGGGCTGGGGCTGGGGCTCAGGGGCAGAGCGCTTGCCTAGCATGTGTGAGGCGCTGGGTTCGATTCTCAGCACCACATATACATAAATAAAATAAAGGCTCATTGTCAACTAAAAAGTATTAAAAAAAAGAGGGGGGGAATGTAGCGGAAGAAGGACATACAATATGCTGTCAAGGAAAAGTGGACAGGATTTGGTAGAGTGTGTGGAGAGGAGGACTGAGGAATCCAGGTTGGTGGTTTGGAGTTCCAGGGTGGTGCATGGTCACATGATGCATTGTGATGGAGGGAAGGTTCAAGGAAAGCATGTTGCTTTAGGGAAAGGGCTAGCTGTGGGCAGCATGACTTCTATTTTCTGCATGTTAGATTTGAGATGCCCGAGGCATCTGTGTAAAGATGTTAAGTATGTATTCGCATAACTATTTGGAGGTGTTGGGTAAGTATTATTAAATGTTTGGAGATGTTGGGCTGGAGACAAAAATTTGATGGTTCTCTTCAGTGGCTGAGAGCACCTAGGTAAGAAGTGTATGAAGAGCAGAGGAGACAGGGACAGGACCCCGGAGGAGTGCTAGGAGTTCACCAAGGGAAGGCCAGGGAGTGGAGGAGAACAAGGGCCGTATTGCAGGGTATAGTGGGCCTGGCTGTGCTTAAGCTGAGGCTTGTCAAGGCTGTTGGCTGCAGGTTAGGCCTTCTGGGTCCTTGAAAAGATGAAGGTGTGTGTGGTGCCTGACAGGCTCCTCTGCCCCTGCACGGCATGCTGACCCTTCAGAATGGTTTTTACTTTTCCTATCACATGCTGGATATCGTTTTGTTCATGTCCTTAGGATATTGAGAAGTGTTGACTGGCACTTAACAAATAATTAATAAACACTTGAACAGATGGGCCTCTGCCAACCCCAGTAGTGATGGTTAGGTTTTAAGGGTATAAGTGTTTTTTGATTTTTTCACCTGCCATTACCTTCAAAAATATTTCTGTACAAATTACATGGGGAGTCATTGATCAGTGATTTTTTTTTTTTTTAAGTATTTAATACATTGTGGCTCTTTTGACTAGAAATGTGGATTGGTGTGAAATTGTTAGGTCCTAGGATACAGTCCCGGCAAGAGGGGGTATAGTTTGTATTCTCATAGAACTTTAGACAATAAGAGCAAACTTGACTTTGCTTTTAGAATTCTGAAACATGTTGGCTTTATTTTTCACCTTCTTGAGAGCATTTGATTTTGGTGGCTTTCCCAGGTGTAATTAATTGTTATATGTCTGTTTAAGGGACAAGCTTTGGAGCCCAAACAAGATGCCTTCCAAGGCCAAGAAGCAGCAGTACTGATGGATCAGAAGGCAGCTTTGTATGGGCAGACATATCCAGCACAGGGGCCTCCAGTGCAAGGAGGCTTTAATCTTCAGGGACAATCGCCGTCTTTTAACTCTATGATGACTCAGATGAACCAGCAAGGCAGTTTCCCTCTCCAAGGAATGCACCCCAGGGCCAACATCATGAGACCCCGGACAAACACTCCCAAGCAACTTAGAATGCAGCTTCAGCAGAGGCTGCAGGGCCAGCAGGTAATCAATCATGTGCTTGGCTTCAGCCCCAAGTGGCTTTCCTTTGGCCTCACCTTGTTTAATTTGTTTTCAGGCTTTGTCCTCAGAATTCTTACCCTGGCTTTCTGACCTTCACCAACTAGGGAAATGACCTTTGTTTCACTTTTTTTTTTTTTTTGGTAAGATTATATTTGTGCAGATGGCTCCTTGTTAAGGAGCGATTCTGCTAGAATTGAATGCATTTCCATTGTATAGGTTAAAGAGTAAAAATGTCAGAAATGATTGCTGTTGGGGCGGTGCTTCTTAATGTCTTTGTAGCCTAATAGATCCTTTTTAAAAAATTTTAAGACCTATAATACTAATAACCAAAAACCTTCTTAATTTCATCATTTTTAAAATAGAACCCCTGCTTCTAGATGTCTATAAAACTGGAGCTCTCTTCGAGAATTCCAAGAGAGAACTTTGGTTTTCTCATTGTTTCCTCAGTCACCAACTAATGGGAGTTCTGTTGTGTCCCCTCATCCCCAGTACTGGGAACTGAACCCAGGAACACTCCACCACCAAGCTTCATCTCTCCTCTCCTCTTGTTTTTTGTTAATTTTGAGACAGAGTCTTCCTAAGTTGCTGAAGATTTTGCTAAGTTACCCAGGCTGGAAATGACCTTCTTGCAATCCTTCTGCCTCAGCCTCCTGAGTTGCTTGGATTATTGGTGTGTGCAACCGCACCTGGTTCTCTAATCATTTAAAAATATAATTATTTCTATAAAGTTTGTGTCTTAAATGTGCTGAGTTATTAAATGTGGTGGAACTAAACCATATAAATAGGTAATATTTCTAAGTTCAGGAGTTCATGGCATCATTTTGCCCCCTCCCCCTTTGGGAACCAGGTATTGAACTCCAGGGCACTTAACCACTGAGCCACAAACCCAGCCCCCCTACCTCCCTTTAATAGCTTTATTTTATTTTTATGTGGTGCTAAGGATTGAACCCAAGGCCTCACACACTCTACCACTAAGCCACAACCCCAGTCCCTTCCCAGAACCTTTTAAACGCTAATTATCATTAATTTTGAGAGAGGGTTTCCCTGAGTTTCTTAGAGCCTCACTAAGTTGCTGAGGCTGATCATTTTGCTTTTTATGATTTCTTTCCACTACAAGGTACTTAGACTGGGTGTGGTGGCTCATGCCTATAATCCCAGCAGCTCTTGAGGCTGGATAGGAGGATCGTGAATTCAAAGCAAGCCTCAGAGTGGCAAGGCGCTAAGCAACTCAGTGAGACCCTGTCTCTAAGTAAAATACAAAAAAAGAGCTGGGGATGTGGCTCAGTGGTTGAGTGCCCTCAAGTTCAATCCTTGGTAACCCCACCCCACCACCAAAAGAAGAAGGTGCTTAGGATAAGATACTGGAGGAGGAGTTTATTCAGTATTACTCTGACCCAGTTAAAGCTCTTTCCTCAGGTGCCTCAGTAATCCCTGGGAAAACCTGACTATAAATCCTGAGTTCCTGTTAGAGGTGCTCTTTAAACTGCACACTGTGCTTCTTTACCACCAGTGCCAGGTGGTAAAGATTCACAGGCCAGGCAAGAACTTTTTAGCATTAATTTTTTTGCAGTGTGAAAGTGTATGAGCTCAGTTGAGATGTGACTTAACCAGAACAGTGGGTTTGCAGTTATCCCCGTGACCTCACTGGGTGGTGCTGAGAGTTTGAAACCCTGGGACTCATCACCCGTTCCTTGTGCATGCTAACCACCAGTCTCTTCTCAGTTCTTGAATCAGAGCCGGCAGGCGCTTGAAATGAAAATGGAAAACCCTGCTGCTGCTGCCGCTGCTGCCGCCGCCGCCGCAGCAATCAGGCCCATGATGCAGCCCCAGGTGAGCTCCCTGGGAGGACGAGCCACTTCCCAGCACAGGCTAGCTCATGCTGGCTCTCAGTGTTCCTTAAGCAATGAGAGTAATTTTGGTTTTCTTGCAGAAGAATCCATTCCACAGTTCCATTTCAGTTTTTCTTTTTTCATTCTTAACTCTTATGTCTTGCTGGTGATGGGAGAAATCAGGAGAGTGGGTTACCTTAAAAACCATTGATGAATTGTTTTGTTTTTTAAACCAGATTTCCCTTGTGATCAATTGCTGTTTTTTGAGAGAAACTATCAGTTAACTAGTAGTAACCCCCATGAATGTTTCTGTTCTTGGATTATGAAACCACATACTCATTGGGTAAGAAGATACCCTGTTTCCCTTGCTGAGGAGAAAATTCCTCTGTACTTCCAGCAGGAGTAGAGGTAGCATCAAGGTGTTCTCTTAATGTGTGGTAGATGTGGTTGCAAGTACTACTCATATATATATATTTTTTTAATTGAAATGCCTAATTTTCAACATCTTTTGCCTACTTGGAAGTACTGATACTTATATTTTCTTGATAATCAGTGTCCTGTATAAGTTGAGCTAGGTTGCCTTCCAAATAATGATAAAAGTTGGCCTTTTGGAGATGATTTTTCTCAGCTGGTAGAGCTTAAATCAATTCCCTTAGTTATGATTATCTAGCACCTTAATTTACTCCTTGTCCTCTACCTCTTCTTTTAGGAGGTTAAAGAAAACAACGAGACCTTCTGAGACCCCTGCTTATTGGAGTATAAACCTGGCCCCCCTTTTTTTAAATATTTATTTTTTAGTTGTAGTTGGACACAATATCTTTATTTATTTAGTTTTATGCTGAGGATCACCCCAGGGCCTTGCACGTGCTAGGTGAGTGCTCTACTGCTGAGCCACAACCCCAGTCCCTAAACTTGTCCCTTTTTTTTGCCCCCTTCAGGGGCTTCCCTTCTTGTTTCATTTCTACCACTGCCCTAACACACACTCAGTTCTGCTCTCTTTCTGTCTGTCTTTCTTTATTTTTTTCTGTGTTGCCCAGGCTGACCTCAAATTCCTTAGCTTAAATGAGCCCTCTTGACTTGGCCTCCTGGGTGCTAGGACTGTAGGCATGACTACTGTACCCAGCTGAGAAAGCCTTAAACAAACAAACAAAAAACTGTGTATTCTCTCTTCCCTTTAATTATGAAGAAAGGTCTCAAGTATTTCTCTTTGGTACCTACTGTATTGTGGAAGCACTGTGTCTATGGAACATCCATGTCCTGCTGCACATAGGTAATTGCATTCGTTCTTGGCTTTCAGCAGGGTTTTCTGAATGCCCAGATGGTTGCCCAACGCAGCAGAGAGCTGCTAACTCACCACTTCCGACAGCAGAGGGTGGCGATGATGATGCAGCAGCAGCAACAGCAGCAGCAACAGCAGCAGCAGCAGCAGCAGACCCAGGCCTTCAGCCCACCCCCAAATGTGACCGCTTCCCCCAGCATGGATGGGGTTTTGGCAGGACCTGCAATGCCACAAGCTCCACCACAGCAATTTCCATATCCACCAAATTATGGTAATTTTGACAAAGAAAGTGTGCCTTCCCCAGAATAACATGACCAAGCACCTAAAGTTCCCTAGAGCCGTTGCTCAGGAAAAACAAATGCTGTTACTTCCCAAGAAAAGTGAAATTAATTAAAAATAACAGAGAATAAGAATGTTGGCCACAGCGTCCAGTTTACTGAGGCAAATGTGTTCTCTCCTAGTGTTTCCCATGTCTTGCTTTTTTCACCTCCCTATCTCTTCATTTGGGAGAAAGACTACAAAATCCTTCCCCCATCCATTCTCACATGTCCCCGTATAATAGAACCCTGTCATCTCTGAAAGTTTGTCCCAGTCAGTGAGAGGAATGCGCTGTGAGGACTTTTAAGTTCCTTTTCTCGGTGACTTGCCTTTACTATTAATTGAAATAATGTAGTTACTGCTTTAGTTCAGCCTTTGCAAGGTTCCAGGAACATGGTAGGGGAACAGGTATCTTGGAGGAGTTTACATTTCAGGATGCAGCCCTACCCTCTGGGGACAGTGGCTTCCCTGACCTCTAAAGGGGGACAGAGTGATGTGAGTAGAGTTTGTGGAGTTCCTTTTATTTAGAGAGGATATTGGAGCAACACCTTTCAAGTGATCTAGATGGCCTGCCTTTCTGCAGTGAGCCCATGACTCTGTGGTCATATTGTTGCAAAGCAAGAATACTTGGAAGTCAGCTTCTTGTAGGACTCGATATTCTGTACTTATCATCTCCTCCCATACCTTTTCTAAAAATGAACATAAAATTACTATAGAAAATGGAATTCCAAGGAGGTAGCATTTGAACATTGTAATTTTTTCTTTTTCTTTTAAGGAATGGGACAACAACCAGATCCAGCTTTTGGTCGAGTGTCCAGTCCTCCTAATGCAATGATATCATCAAGGATGGGCCCCTCTCAGAATCCCATAATGCAGCATCCTCAGACGGCACTGTATCCGTCCTCAGAAATGAAGGGCTGGCCATCAGGAAATGTGGCCAGGAATAGGTAAACAATAGTGACTTTAAAGTCACTCATATTCTACTTCCAGAAATCCAGGAAATAGCTGGGTATGGTGACGCCTGCCTGTAATCCCAGCTGCTTGAGAGGCTGAGACAGGAGGATCAGGAGTTCAAAGCCAGCCTTAGCACCAGGGAGGCACTAAGCAACTCAGTGAGACCCTGTCTCCAAATAAAATACAAAATAGGGCTGGGGGTGTGGCTTAGTGGTCAAGTGCCCCTGAGTTCCATCCCCGGTAACAAAAAAAAGAGAAAGAATCCAGGAAATAAACCTCTATTTTTGTCACCCTTGTTTGGATGGAGAGAGCAAAAGGCCTACATTCATATTAAAAAATAGGTTGTCTGTTTTGAGAATCCTTTATCCTTATCCTCTATCTAACAGGTAGATATCTATTAAGGTATTGAGGACAGACAACTGTGAAAAATGGAAGGCCAGCTGTTAGCCGTTCTCTCTGATGTTTGTGCTTAAGTATAGAGATATATGACAAAATCATGATATAATGTGTGTGCCCTGTGTTCTAAAATGACTCTGGATAATGTCATCCTTTCTTCCCAGCTCATTTCCCCAGCAGCAGTTTGCGCACCAGGGGAATCCTGCAGCATACAGCATGGTGCACATGAATGGCAGTAGTGGTCACCTGGGACAGATGAACATGAATTCCATGCCCATGTCTGGCATGCCCATGGGTCCTGATCAGGTATGAAGATCTCTTTCTTTCTTTTTTCAAAGTTTTTCTTGTTCTTTGTAGAGAACCAAAGCCTCAACTGTAATCTAAAGGTTCTAGGTAGATTTCAGTTTAGATATATAACTTAAAATATTGAAACTGAAGCCAGGTAAGTAAGTGACCCACGTCTGTAATCCCAGTGACTCAGAAGGGCGAGGCAGGAGGATTGGAAAGTTTGGGGCCAGCCTTGGCAACTTAGCAAGGCCTGTCTCAAAAAGTAAAAAGGGCTGGAAGTGTAGTTTGGTACTCAGAGGTAGAGCATCCCAGGGTTCAATCCACAAAAACAAAACAAATTAAAAAATGTTTGAATGCCTTGCCAAAATTTTGGCAGTTTAGGCCCAAAGGAGTCTGAACCTGTCATGTCAGAGCCACATGACAAGCCCTGAGTGTAAATATAGGTCTTTCTCATGTTTTGTTGAGCAGATGTTTTACTCATGTTTCCTTCTGGTTGCTGACAGAAATATTGCTGATGTCTCCAAACCTGGACCTTTGAGGAAATCACTGTACAAATGACACTGCACTAGGATAATCTGGAGGTAAAGAATCATTGTCCAGGTGTCCAGCTTTGAAGCAAGGACCAGCTTTGATCTCCGTCAGGGCTATTCCAAGTGATGTCACTTGGGCAGGACTGGATCTGAAGCTGAAGTGCGACATCTACCTGTCCCTCTTCCCCAATTCTGTATATCATGGTATTCAAAACAAATGTTTTTAGCCTTCTGCCTCCTAGGGATGTGAATCTGGAGATATGGAGTGTTTCTTACAGAACTCCTGTGTCACTTCCTTCTGCCTTGCTAGCCAGTCTTTCAAATAGATGTAAGTGGACAGAGAGCACTGGAGAAACCAGGGACCACCAGAACACCTGGTTTTTTTAATCGTAGTATTGGACAAAGCATAGTCCCAGTTATTAAGTGTTTTTGTCACCACCAAGCAGTTTTGTGTTGACCCTTTGTCCAGTGGAGTTGTCATTTGAGTCCTTGTCCTTTACTGATGGTGTTGAGTTGCTCTGTCCTTTATTGTCCTAGGCCTTTTCCTGATGAAGATGTTCATTTGGCCCTAATGTACTGTAACACTTCACCTTCAGGATTTGTCGTGGATGATAAATGGCTGTGCAGAAGGGAACATGAGATGACAGTATTTAATTGCAGCAGTGGCAAATTTTTCATATGCTAACGTGCAGCTGAGTGCACTTTATTGAAAAAGTAATGGATAAATGCAATATTCCTGAGGTCTTGAGGAATGAGGAGCCACATTCCTGGTTTTGTCCATACTATTCTATTGGACAAGAACTATGATTTATTTTTTTTAAAGTACTGGTGTCACCCTTTGCCTATATGGTAGAGCAATAATGCTTTTTGAAAATAAACTTCTGAAAACCCAAGGCCAGGTACTGCATTCTGAATCAGAATTTCGCAGTGTTTCTGTGAATAAGTTTTTTTTTTTTTTGTAAATATGACCTTTAAGATATTGTATTATGTAAAATATGTATATACCTTTTGTTTGTGGGTCACAACAACTCATTTTTACAGAGTTCGTGAAGCTGAATATTTAACATTGTTGATTTTAGTAAACTCTGTGGTGAGGCTACAAACAGCAGAGACACCTGTCTCGTGGCCTGAGGAGGAGCAGTGGTCCACGGCTCTTCCTTCCGCTGGCATTAGTCGCCTCATTTTTTTTTTTTTCTCAATCTCTTAATCTAAATGCTTTTTAAAGAGATCATTTGTTTAGATGTAGGCATTTAAAAAGAAATTTTTTTTTAAGCTCCTCTACCAGAGAACTAAGCACTTTCTTTTTGGGGAAAGAATAGATATGGGAAAATAAACTTAAAATATCAGGAATTAAAAATTAAGCAATTTGATTTAAAAAGAATCTTTTGGATTTTAAGCAGTCCATAAATGAACAATAATTCCTCCCTTCCTTTTTTCATGTAAACTGTATATGCTGCCTTTTCATCCATTTTAGGAGTGCTCTAAGAATTTGATTGCTGGGACTTGAATCCCACACTGTCACCATAGGAGTCAAGTCCTGGGTGTGTGGTTTCTGGTGCCTGCTCAGCTGTGTCTGGTCATTCTGCTGCTATGTGTGGTGTTGTCACGGCTTCCCTGAAAGTTAGGACAGTGTCGTGGTTGTTTCTTCAGAATTTCAGTATCCACAATAGCCAGTTTTACCGTGACTCGGAGCCAGTCTGAGCACTGCCCCCACCCACCTGCCACTTTTCTCTCTGATACTGTTCTAATCATTTTGGAGTAGGAGAAAAATCAAGTTTAATTCTCATTATCTGGGTTACTTTTTTGGGTTCAAATAGTTGAATAAATTGGGTTTTGGGATATTTATGAATTTCAAATGTCTCTGCTAGCCTTGGTGTCATTTTCTAGCAATAACTAAGAGCCACTTGATTTTTTTTTTTTCTTTTTTAACTTTCACATGATTAGCCAACCTTTTTAGATGTCTCTTAAGGTAAGATCATTTAATTTCTTTGACATACTTGAATAAGCGAAGCCCCATTTCCAGAACTACCACTAGAGTGGGTTTTATGTTTTCAACAGTGTGTAGACCATCATGAGCTTGCCTCTTACCTCCCCACCCCCCTGCAATAAAAAATAAATCTCAGATTGTAAATCCATGAACTTCCACCCTATTGGCCCATGCTTTTCAGATGACATCGTCTCCTGTGTGGAGCCAGAGCCACACCAAGTGAGTCTTTTTCAATCCAGTGGTTTTGGGTGTGTCTGAACTTTCCTCATTCAAATTGTATATATGGGGAGGACAGAATGGTGCTCCTACCTTTCTTAACTTTTAAAAATTAATTGAAACAAAACTTTTTTTCAGTCCTGACTCTAGGCCGATGGAAGGCAGCAACACCCACTTTTTGTATGGGGAAAATAATGAGATTATAAGTTTTTATATTTTCTACTTATTGATTTTTATTGGTGCAAACTCAAGATTTTGGTTTCCTTTTAACGGATGCAGTCTTTGAGATAATTTGTTTTTAACCTTTATTGTCCTTTTATCATTTTTGGATAATTCTTTTTGTATTCCTGCTGCCTACCTCTCTTAAACTCTCCCTTCAGCTCCCTCTTTTTAAACATAGGTATCTGTTGAGTAAACAGTATGTCTTTTCATCTGCTTTTAGGATGTGGGGTATTTCCAGTACCTACTTTTTTGCTGAATCCAAAGATTATATAAATAAAAATATATTTTATGAAGATCAAAATGATATAAAGGAGATACATGTTTCTTCCTTTAAAAAATAGAAATTGCATTGTTAATGTTATGATGCCATTTTTCTAAATTGTGCATCTGGATTGAAAGGTGTAAATATCATAAACAATCCTAGTTTATCAGTGTTGAATATCTAAGGTGGGTTGGGGGTACGCAAGGGAGTTGTGTACTGCGCAAGATGAGAGTTGGCTTGGTGTCCTAGAAGTTCTTTGAACCAGAGGTAGATGCAGCTGGAAGTAAACAGCATGAATCTGTGAACAGCTGCCCATATGCCTTCCCAGTCTCTTCATTTACAGAAGCCATCAGTTGTGTTCCCAAGGAGGAAATGCACAGAGCCAGAGCTCTAGGACGGATGAGATTTTACCCCTGCAGCAGAGGAATTTGGGTTGTTTTCAACTCCAAGGCACACTATTTGCAAACAGGCAGGGTGTTTTCTTTTTCTTCCCTTCTTTCTTTTTCTTTCCAGTGTATGGAGTTTTGAAGAAGATGGAAATGTCATTCTGAGAGCAATATTTAAATTCTCAGGAATTGACCAAACAGTGTTGAGAATGAATTTGGTTTCAGTCAAGTTTACATTAAATCATTCTTCACATTGCAAAGCATCTAACTACATGGGACGACTCATGAAATGGGGTGGTGAGCTGTGACTGCTTTGCTGACCGTTTTGGATGTTCTTGTAAATAAAGGTTTCTATTTAAAAACCGGAGCCTAAGAGCATGTTTCCTCCACTCATCACTGTTCGATTAATGGTATAAGGGATGCTCAAGGAAGCCTTTTTTCAAATCAAATAATGGTAGCAGTTTTTGTGAAGTTTACTGGTGTTTTGTTTGTTTTTATACTTATTTTTTAGTTGGAGTTGGACACAATACCTTTGTTTTTATGTGGTAGAGCACTGTTTTGTTAGGGAGCCTGGGCCTGTTGGGGGCGTTGAAAGGCTTGGAACTGCTTTTACAGACTGTGAGTGCTTGGAGATCATCTGTTAAGAGAGAGATGGGTTGGTTTGGTGGGGTTCCTCCTCCTGTTATAGAATTCTGACAACCACCGGTAGCAGGTTATGCTACCTGGTACACAAAAAAGGGTTTGCAAAGTGAACTGCTGTCCTGTAGCTGGTGTAATGTGAGGCTTACCTGTGAGGTCCCTTCAAGAATGTTCATAACTATCCCTTTAACTTCAAGGCATCTCCATCCAAAAAGGTGTTGGCTGGTAGTGAAAAAACAGAAAACAGGCACTGCAAAACAAAACAAAACAAAACAAAACAAAACAAAAAAACTCCCAAGAATAGCTTTTTACAAAAATGTCAGTGGTTTCTTCATACCAATGACTAGTCATTGACTAGGATTTTGAACATAGTAAGACAATACTTACACTACAAAATTTCTTACAAATACAGTGTTGTTAAAATCTGGGACATACATGAACTTCATTTCTTTTTAGTACCTTAAAAAATATCAGTTCTGGGATAGATATAACAAAGCAATTCTGGGCAGAATGGGCAGGAAGAGAAATGTCCACAACTGCAAGGGAGTTTTCTTTCACACTGGCCACAGAGCGTTTATTGACACCACCACTCTCGAAAATTGCGATTTCTTATTAGATTCCCCTAAACGTTCCCTTGTTGGTTACATGTAGAGAGTCACATATATACAATGAAGGCAGTTTCTTCAGAGGCAACCAGGGTTATCAAGCTAGGTAAATGTCACTTTTTTTGTGCTATTGACTCACTGTCAAACTCTGTGTGCTGTTTTCAGCATCTGTAAGTTGTCCCTGTCCTGCTTAGTTTCTTTGTAATGAACTAAGAGAAAAAGAGGGTTTAAAACAGGGTTGTTTTTTCCCCTATGATTTAAAAAAATTCCAGTGACTTTCACCCTTGGGGAAAGTTTCCACGAAAATCTCTTGGTTCTTTTTTCCCTGTGAGACTCTCAGGGTTAGTGGTGACCTTTTGATATGAAAATGCATTTTGTGCAGCTGGTGAGGTATAATCCAAAGCAAAGCAGGGGCAAAGTGGACTTCCTGAAGTTCTCTGTTCCTGACGGTTTTCCCCCAGAATTTGCCATGTTGATGGAAAGTAGGTGTTCTCAGGACTCCTGGCTCACCACACGTTTTCTTTCATGGCCTGTACGATCAGGCGAGGCCTCTTGGTTTTGGGAGGTCCATCTCTGTTGCTTCTTAACCTTCCCAGCCTTCCCACAGTTGTCCCCTGTAGAAAGAACAAAACTCTTCAGTTTTTGATGATCCTGCTGCTTAGGTGCCTTAACTAGGCCTACAGCTGAGTAAGCTTTGCTTCAAGGATGTGGCTGCTGAAAATGAGAATTTCTAGGTAACCTGGGATTACTTCTCTTTAAAATGTCCCAATTTTTAGTTGCTCCTTTACACACCCAGTAGCTGGCAAGGATGGTGTTTAGGATATGCACAGAACAGTGGCTGAGGAGAACGAAATATAAATTCTGGAAGCCCCATATAAATGTTTAGCTGGCTCATTACTATTGTCCCAGTGACACCACATCAGTTTATATGCATGAGTAGACCAGAGGTTGCAAATGGCAGCTCACTAGGTTTACCCATGTAGGAAACTTAACATCAGATTTGTTGCCTGTGTTTAAAATGAATTCTCACATCTGCATTTTTTGATTTCCGCAATGAATTCTTTCAGACAAGCTGTACCCCACTTCTGCACAGAACAAACTGGCTTGCTCCCCTTAGTGTGAGGTGAGCTTTCCAGGTTGCCTGTGGTGCCAGCTTCTATTGGCACTGGAGGGACAGTTCATAGGATGGAGGTTTTTTTTTTTTTTGGGGGGGGGTGTGGGGTGCTGGGGATTGAACCCAGGGCCTTGTGCATACAAGGCAAGCACTTTACCAACTGAGCTATATCCCCAGCCCCAAGGATGGAAACCATTCAATGAGGCCACCCTATGGCTGACTGTGTACCATTTAGTGCTTTTGCAGCCACAGCCTTCAAGATGTCTGGCAACTGTATTATTTAAATGCGTCTCAACCTCGAAGTCATAGCTCAAGTTTACTAAGCACAGAGAGAACAGTGTACGGACAAGGTGCTAATCTGAAAACGAAGTTATTTACTTGTTATCTCACAGGAAAGACTGACATTACTGTTTCCCCTCCTCATGGGAATTGGGGGATGATGGAGGAGGGAGGTGATAATATCAAGCTGGCATGCACATAGAACAGCCTTGGCAAGAGGAAGCAAATGAGAATCAGACCTCTACTTGTGAACTGTTCCTCAACTCACAGTGATTTGGAAGAAGGTCTCTTCATTTCTGGCCATTTTCGACGCTGAAACTGCCTATGTTTTCAAGTGTCAAAAAGAGAATGAGTGTTAACCATCACTAAGAAAGAAAGTCACCCCCAAAGAACTACACAAAGAAGGTCTCTGGTGAAACCTATCACCGGTGGGCGATTGAGGCTCCCAGCAGACCAAGAAAGGACACATTCTCCAGGTGCAATCTCACAGACGGGAGACTAGAAGGTGGGTCAACGTGGGGGAACTGTCCTCCAACATAATAACAAAACAGAATACCTGTATTGCTCAAAGCTTCCTCCATCTTTAAGTCCTAAATGAGCAAGAAATAGACCAAAAAGGAGAAGATTGTTTAGGATAAAAATGGTATAAGCAATGAAAAATTCTATAATTGTTTTCTACAGAGAAAAAAAAAAAAAATCCACCACCCAAAAAACCACCTTGGGCTTTTATCTTGGGATCAAGATGCTGCAAACATTTTCTAGTGAGATGGAGTGGCTGAATGATCAGGTGAACTTCCTTTAAATCTAGGTGGCCTTGCAGATGGCCTGTCAGTATCAGCTGCAGGGTGTTCCTTGCTTCAACACTGACCTTAGTCGTGATGGGGTAGGTAGGCAGACATGGGTGTGAGTGCCCTGCTACAGAGGGCCATTAACCAAGGGCACTTGGTCAGTGGATAACTGAACAGAGGAGGAAAGAGAAATGAGGGGATCGGGTGTTTCTGGTGTGGAGGGCCAAGGTGCTCATCTCCCTGGAAGCACAGTTCATCAGAAACTAACTACTGCCTGCCATGGGTAGGAAGTTTCTGTAACCTCCAGATGGTAAGTCTCAAATTCTGTCACCCCCAGTTCCTGGTGATTCTGGGTCACTCTTGGGGCAGATGTGAGTCCTTCCTGTGGTCACCCTGCTCTGTGTGTGCCCCACACTGGGCCCTACCTACCCAGGTCCATGTTCCGCGTCCTGGGGTTGCACTGTTTGGAACCCTTGCAGCTCCTCAGCTCCATGAGCTGCACGTGCAGCTGGTTGAGGACGTCTCTGTCCAGTGTGTTCACCGCGTTCATCAGCTGGTTGGGATCAAGGCAGGTTGTCAGCAGGGAGTCCTGAGACCCCCGTCTCCCATCCTCTTCTCCCTACTGTGGCACTTTTTCAGGCAGGTTGGGAGTAGAAGGTGCTGTTTGTTCCCGAGTTTGGAAGAGCTCGGTGGTGTCTTAGCTTCCGTCCCCACCAGGTCTTCTCCTAGTGAGGACAGAAGCCATGCCTGTGTACTCAGTGCTGACCTCAAGAGCCTTGGGTCAGGAAGCTCCCTAAGTGGGAAAGAAGCCCTCCGAGCCCTGGCTTGGTCAGCAGCCTTTTGTCACAGTCCCTCAGTTCTTCTTGACCAGAAAATGGCCATCTGGTGAAAGGGTGGGTAGGTGACTGGGTCCTTGCCTAGTCTGGGACTACTAGTGGCCAGCTAACTTCTTGTCCTCTCCCGCCCCATGGGAGGTACCTGTCCGAGGAGAAAAGACTGTCAGCCTGGATGGCCACCCTAATAAATCAGTTGAGCTGCAGGTAATTAAAAATCGAGGTCAAGAAGTTATTTCAGGCTTTTCTTAAAAGGCTGCGGTTGGACAGTATGAAGGCCGCACCACACAGCAGCTCTGGAGCCGAGCTCCCCGGCACCAGGGCTCAGATGTTCCCGTTAACAGGCCCTCTGCTGCTCGTATTTGTCATGTGTGACTGGCCCACTTCAATCAGGTATCCGTCTAGGTGACTGAAAATACAAAGCTTGGAGCAGAGCTCTCTTGCTGCAGCTAGTACAGCCATCTTACGGTCCCTGTAGGCCTGGGGTGTGCGGTGGGTGGCGGGACCCTGTAGCTTGGCAGTTCTAGGAGTCCTGTGAAGCCTCTTGGAAGTTGATATGTGCCTAAGCTAGAGGGAAGCAGCTCCGTATGCCATGGATAAAAAATGATGGTGACAGAGACAGACGGGACATTGAGTCCCCAAGTTCTCAGTGACCTCAGAACTCATTCTTCCTGTCTTAGGGACTCAGTGGCACTTGGAAGTTCGTCATTTCCTCAGTGAGGGTCTAACTGGCAGTTCCTGTATACCCACACCTCGTTTCTGCAGCTGCTGGTGGCTGTACCTGGTAAGGGTCTGTGTTGAGGTCAAAGTACTCCAGGAAGCCCGTTGCAAATTCACAGAAGAGGAAGTTGTGGGTCTCGTTGATCGTCCTCATGCACCAGTATGTGTTATTGTTGGCACTGGTGCAGGCGCAGAAGGGCCCCACTGCCAAGGAAGAGAGGGCATGCCTGAGCGCGCTGCAGTTGACCTGCCGATCCCTGCCAAGGGACACCCCCCTCCTGGCCCCAACCCGTTTTTCAGGTGCCACTTGACAGTCGGAACACCTGATTCTGAGACCTGCAGGGTCTGGCGGTGAAGGTCTCACAAAGCTTGGGGTAGGTGGGTCACCCGGCCCCCGCCTGCCTGTCCCTGTCCTGTGCCTGCCCCTGGCCTGCTCACGTGTCCAGAGAGGTGCCGTCTGCCAGTGCTGGTTGTCGTGGGTGAAGCATGTGAGGCCTGGCATGCTGCACGTGTCGTTGTTCTGCAGTCGCTTGAGCAGCTTGCGGAGCTTCTTCTTGCGCTTCTGTTCCCGCAACAGCCACACCTTGTCCTTCTCCTGCAGACCCTTCCTAGGGGCATGTAGGCCACAGACACTTTGGGCTTCTGAGGGACCCGAGACCACAAGCCTCTGCTCTTTCCGTCTACCCCGGGGGTGGGAGCAACCTTCTCCAACAAAGGCACAGGCAGAGCCATCAGTGGCCCCAGGTCCCTCCGCTGGTCCAAGGCAGAGCTGGGACCAGAGCCCTGGGCTCCTCTCCTCTCGTAGCCTCCTTCAGCCCCCCAGGTGACCTGAGGAGGAGTCGGGCGGGTCCCCGGAGTCCTGTTCATACCCAGTCCCTCCATCTATGTCCTGGCCCCCCCGGAGGTGGGGTTTCAGCAGTTTCACTTGGCCCCACAGGGGTGCCTGGAGGCCTGCTCGGTGTGGAAGGGAGGCAGACACCCCCTCCCCGCCTCCCCTGACGCTTACCTGAAAGGATGCAGGCTGGAGCCCTTGTGCTTGAGGCGGCCTCTCTGCTGCGCGTGGTAGCTGGAATAGACTCGGGCTTCAGAAGCCTGCAGGGACACCTGGGCTCCCAAAGGTCACTGCTGTTCCACCCTGGCCCTCGCCCTGGGATGGTGGTAGGAAGCTACTAGCTGTCCTGTGGCTGGCGGCTCCCTCCCTGCCTGTTATTCCACGCGTGAGCCTGGGGCCCCCTGCTGACGGCCTTGGGCTGAGCTGCGGTGTGCATGGTTCAGCCAAGACTCAGAGCGAGGCTTGGCTGAAGGTGGTGGCAGCCTTGGTCTCTGGAGGCTGGTTCCCCCCACCTCATGCCTGGTGGGGGCTGACACAGGGGACCTGTGACTGTTAAGTCTTCCTAGAAGGCAGCAGAGATGGTGTAGCCATGCTGTCCCATGCAGCAGCCACTGGCCTCATGAGGCTACTTCATTTCAAATTAGGTAAATTAAAAAGTTCTAGCACCTTTCAAGATCTCAGGAACCTAGAAAGCCTGTTTCCTTGTTTCCCTGGGCCAGGGCTCCTGGGCAGGACCTTGAGCCTCAAGGGTGACTTCCAGAGTACCCGGTCACTCTTGTCCTCCCTAGAGCCAGCTCTACATGGCAAGTACCTGCCTCTTGCTAACGTTACATAAACTGGGCTTCAGGCTGCCCCCTACCCCGTGGGGGTGCCTTCCTGTGCCCAGTTGGCTGAAAATGGAGCTGTGAATTATTACTGCCCCCCGCCCTCACTTTGAGAGGCAAAGACAGGTGGTGGGGGGAAAAAAGTGAAAGGGGGCCTTTGCTACCACCTCACCTGATTTTGTGGCAGTCGCATTCTTCTGGGCGCTTTTTCTTCAGGTGGCCTCGGACTTCCCTCAGGTTCTTAATTTTGTTCTGCAGGGTTTCAATCTGAGGGAGGGAGCAGGAAAGGTGGGCTAGGGGAGAAGGGGGTCGTGACCTGGCCCCTCAGCTGCCCCAGCCCCGCCTTCCTGCCTGTGTCCTGGGCTGCATGGCATAGCTGCACCTGCATTTGTGGGTGCCAAGGGAGTCTCCCCCTTTGGCCAGGTTCTAGTGAGGGGCTGCGAGTCTTTTTTTTTTTTTGTGGTGCTGGGGATTGAATCCAGGGCCTGGTGCACGCGAGGCAGTGAGCCTGTGAACTCTGCGCGGTGGCACACTCCTATGATCCTAGTGGCTCTGGAGGCTGAGGCAGGAGGATTGCAAGGACAAAGCCAGTCTCAGCAATTTAGTGAGACCCTGTCTCTAAATTCAAAACAAAACTAGCTGAGATAAAGTGTAGCATGGATCTGCATGTCACTCAGAGGGCGTCTGGGCTCAGCCACCTCTGCCAGGAGGTTGTCTGCAGGTGCCAGGACTGATGCCCCTGTCCCTCGGTTGTGGATTCTGTGGGGACCTCTCCTGCCTCTCCCCGGGCCTCTCCGCACCCCCAGCCCTGGCCCTGCTGAGGTCCCCCTCAGGCTGCCAAGCCATGGTGCCTGAGGAGACACCCCTGACCCTTGGTTTGCTCACCTCGTGGTCTATGTGCAGCTTGTGGTCTTTCCAGGCCTGCAGGGACTTGTACAGGTCCAGGTCACACTGGACTGTGTCATTCTCTAGTATGTAGCACCTGCTCAAGAGAAGGGGTCACGTGTAGCCCTGAGGGGTAGAAGGGGATCAGCCCAGGGGCCCATCTTGCCCCTTCACCCCCACCTGTCAGACGCTCACCGATGGGTCACTTTGATGGGGTTGGGAGCTGAGAAGTCAGGAAGGCCTCCAGTGCCACTGAAGCCTCCACTGTCCTTGTCGTCTTGGTCCTCAGGGGCTCCTGGCCAGTGCCGTTTGGTAAGGTTGCGGGGCTGGGGGGCCGCGTCCTCCAGGCCTACATGGTACACCTCGCCATCTACCTCAATGGCCACGGAGCGGATGGAGCGGTTACGGGTATAGCTGGCTTTGTACTCTGTTGGGTGTCAAGGGGGTGACTGGATTAGGGAGGCTGGGAAAGACTGGCCAGGCCCCCTGGGCAGCAGGTCCTCCATCAAGATAGGGCTGGGCTCCCAAGTGTGAGACTGCTGTTGCCTGAGGCTGGCGGGCTCTTGAAACCTAGCATGGAAGCAGGTCCTCAGTCCCAAGCCCTAGGGCTAAGAAGGGCCTGACCTGGGGAGACTTCGAGAGCTATGCAGGGACAGATATGGACACCGAGGAGGGGCACAGCCACGGCAAACAGGGTCAGTTCGCAGCAGGAGGAGTCCCGATTCCTGTCCTGATGAATATCACCAGCATTATGTCAAGTGGAAGAGGCCAGACACAAAGGTCTCTGTTACTAATCTTTAAAGGCAGAAAGACCACGGGGGGGGGGGGGGGCGGGGGGAGAGTGAGGCAGTTCCTGCTTTGTAGGTGTGGCATTTCCTTTTGGGGTGATGAGTGATGAACATGTTTTGGAACTTGTTAGAGGTGGTACAACACTGTATAAAAACGCTTCTAAACTGGGGCTGGGGCTCAGAGGCAGAGTGCTGGCCTAGTACATGCGAGGCGCTGGGTTTGAGCCTCAGCACCACATAAAAATAAATAAATAAGGGTATTGTGTCCAAGTACAACTTAAAAAAAATGCTTCTAAACTACAAAAAAAGTATAATTTTTTTTTGTGAAACTTTGAAAAAGGAGGTGGGGGGGCAGAGGGTGCTGTGGCGCACACCTATAATCCAAGTGGCTCTGGAGGCTGAGGCAGGAGAATTGCAAGTTCAAAGCCAGCCTCAGCAAAAACGAGGTGCTTAGCAAGTCAGTGAGACCCTGTCTCTAAATAAAATACAAAATAGGGCTGGGGGCGTGGCTCAGTGGTCAAGCGCCCATGAGTTCAATCCCTAGTACCCCCCCCCCCCAAAAAAATGTGAAGCCTGCGGTGGCCCTCAGCTTGAGTCACTCTTGCCCACCAGCAGTGACCTCGGTGGCCTCCAGGGCAGAGCACTTTTCTGCGAGGTAAAAACCATGGGCAGGTAGGTCGCATCAGACCTCGGACATCTTGGATCTTTCATATGATTTGTTTAAAACAAGTTTGATCAAGTTGCTGACATTAAAAAAAAAAAAAGTAGTAGTAGTGAAGGTCAGGCAGGAGTCCGCACTTCTAGCTTCTGAAACGGAAGACGGCCCCCAGTTCTGAAGGGTGGAATGGGCAGAGCCTTGAGGGTGGGCCAGCATGTCCTGCCCCCAGCTGCAGCCCCAGGGTTCCCTTCGGTTCTCAAGCCGCCCCTCCTGCCTGGCCCCGCCTGAAGTGCCTAAGCCCTCTCCAAAAGAAGGGCACGGAACTAGGTATGGCCCAGATGACCACTAGATGGCGACAAAGGCACACAGGCTGGAGTGGACAGAGGTGCCACTGGAGAGCCAGGGAGGAAGGGTTTCTCTTCCCACCTGGCTGCAGCCTCAGGCCTGGCCTGCTGCTCCGCCCTGGGACAGGCTCACCCGGGCCAAAGGATCCGCAGGGTCCCTGACAGCCTAGTCCTCTTCCCCAAGGCCTGGGTCCTTTTCTGGCCCTGGGGCAGCTTTCTCCTTTTCCCCCGGCGCGACCCTCCCCTAGTGCACAGCGCTGAGCTCGGAGGCCATCCCCGACCTCCTGTGTTCCTTCATCGCACCTGCCTCAGGAGTTAGCTGCTCTGGATCTTTCCCCCGTCTGTCTCCCAGATTTAAGCCCAGGGGTCCCTGAACCACCAGCGTGGCCCTGAACCTGTTGTCGTGAATATGACTTCATTAGAAAATAGATGCTCCCTGCAATGACAGAGCCGACCAACTGAGATGGGGACAGTAGGCTGTGAGTGACCCTCAGCTCTCTGTAGAGGGTTCTTGTTGGGAAAGACCCTTTCCCAGCACAGAAGCCACACCCTCTGCCCACCTCACCACTTTTGCTGACTTGGTTTCTGGGCCCCAGAGGCACCTTCTTGGTACACAGGGTGGGATGGGACCTCATAAGCCCTTGGCCGGGACCTTTGGCTCAAGTGCTGAGTCACTTCACTTCCAGGCAGCTGGGTTCTCATAGGGTGTCACAGGTTGAGGAGGGTGGCATGGAGCAGTGCTGGCAAATTCTCCAGTACCGTGTGAACTGGCATTGATAGCTGCTCTAGGGGTTGGGGACTTGACAGTTATCATAGCCTTGCCCAAAGTCAAAACCATGCTCACCCCCACCCCCAGGCCACACCTCTCTGTGGCTGACCCACCAAGATCTTTCTGACCATAGGACTTCTGTACTTGGCCTTCCCTTACCTACAGGGCTTGCTCTGTGCTCACTTGAATGTCAGCCGGCCACCCTTTGTGGACCTGCTACCACATTCCACCTGGTCACTCTGCGGCTGCCTTTCCTTCAAGCCTAAGTGACCTTCGCTGTTAACTTCAGTCTTGTCTCCTCTGTGGGATCTGAGTCGGCGACCTCTCGTCAACATGGCAGGCTTGCAGATTGGGTAGGAGTGTATAAAGCTGGCCTCCTGGGCCCATCCCAGACAGCTCCTCTTCTGTTCCTGGTGTCTCCTGGTTCTGGATTGGCTGCTGGCTCTGCCTGGCCTCCCCATACCATAGCTGCAATCCTGCTGGGCCAGGGCTCCTCGACCTTGGCACTGTTGACTGCTGGGTGGACCGTCCTAGGTGGTTAGGCATATCCCAGGCCTCTATCCCTAGGTTCCAGGAGCATCCTGTTGCTCCCAACTGTCCCTAGGCATTACCAAGTGTCTCCTGGGGGACTGGTTGCCTCCAGTTGAGCCTGCTCTATGCTGGCTGCTCAGAGAGGAGAGACAGAGTGTCTTGTTGGCAGACCCTTCAGAGGTGCTGGAGTCCCCACCAATCAGCCCTGTAGTCTGTCTTTCCCATCCATCAGAAGGGGAGCTCACCCTGTGCTGTTCCCCGGCCCTCAGGTGAGGACTCAGTACACCATGGCTGAGCCAAGTCTCAGCTATTGAGTTGCATTTTTCTTTCCTGCACTAATAGGCAGGGCTGGGGGAGCCTAATTGAGCTGTGAGTTCTTGCATTATTCGGGGATTATTGTTGACTGTGTCATGTCCTGAAGCCACTGGATGCTGCGGATGCTGCATAATTGAATCCGGAAGCCAGTCATACTCAGTTGAAAAACAAAATAGCTTAGCAGTTACTCATCGGCTTGTGAGGGTATAGACCTGGAGCCGTAACTGGGCAGCCTCGAGGCAGGAGCGGGTCTGATGGAGACAGCTGTCTGCTGCATGAGGGAGGTGTGCGCTGCCAGGGGGTAGTCCAGGGAGCCTGGGAGGTGGCCGCTGTGCCTGCCTCTGGACCCAAGTCTCTAAGTGGGCTACTGAGCAGTATCCTAGCCTTAAGAAGGGATTTCCGACACTGCCATGTGGACAGCCCTTAAGGGCATCGTGTCAAGTGACAAAAAGGCTAATACCTTATGATTCCACTTCTGTGAGGTCCCCAGACAGTCAGACACACAGAGGAAAGGCAGCAGAAGGGTGGCTGCCGCGGACGGGTACACAGTTTAGTTTTCCAAAACACAAAGCCCTGGAGCGGGTTGTGCGAAGTGGAGATGCACTTGACCCTGTTCCAACACGCACTACTGAACACGCCTGTTTAAATGTCTAAGATGGTGAACTTTATGTGTATTTTGCCACAATCCATAATAAACAGAGCCAAATCTCTAGGCTTTGGCTGTCTCTGGGTCAGGGGGACCAGAGAAGTGGGCTGCAGGGCGACTGCCCCACTCTGGAGGGGGACACGGCTAGCCAGCTGACCAGGCCCCGGGAGCCCGAGAGTTGCTTTCAAAACACGGTTTCATTCCCCTTGAAGGGCAGGCGGGATCTTCCTCTTGTTTTATGAGGGGGACTGAGCTGCCCTTCACTTGCCCTGGGTTCCCACCTCATTATTCCCAATACTTATGTCCCAGTGAAGTCACCGCAAACATTGAATTAGCAAAAACGGAACCCTGTCCTGAGGAAGCCCAGGGTCAGGCTCCTGTGAGCCTCTGGGTGGTATCTTCATTAAGTGACCAATACAGAACCCGGCTGGCGTGTGCGTCACTGTGAAGACACCTCGTTCCACACGGGCTCTGGTCCACGGGCCACTCAGGCCCCACGCTACAGCTCCCGCCCGAGGGACGCCCCTCTGACCCCACATTCCCTCCATGAGATGGGCTTCTTGCTCTTAGCGAGCCCAGCCAGCACCTCAGCATAGAACTCGGACATTTAAACTGCAGTTGCCCCCAACAGCCCCAAATATGAAATGCCTGGCAGTAAAAAGGACACTCATCTGTCCACCAGGCAGCAGGGAGTGTTTCAGGGGTTCCCATCCTCGGCGGGGGCCATGGGTCAGGCAACTTAAGACATCCACATTTCAAGGTCAAGAATGACCTTGAAAGTGCCTTGAGGTGGATTTTGGAGCTACGGGTGCATTTGAGGGCGGTGTTGAGTTTGCAGATGTGGGCTCTGAATGGTGAGCATCGGCTGTCTTAGCCTGTCCTGTGGCTGCCCCTCAGATCCCATCCAGAACACGGTCACTTCCTTTCTGGACACCATGGCCCAGCCCTCTCCACCCTGGCTGCCAACAGTTCTGCCAGGCTCTGCTTCTCTTGCCTCTTGGCAGCCGACTGAAGTGGCAGCTGGAGGGACCCTTGGAAAACACAAATCTGATCTGTCCCCTCTGCCCAGAACCCTCGGGAACAGAGGCTCCGGCCTTCAGTACTGATGAGGTGCCCCAACTCAGTGCTCTCTACTGCCCTCTGGCCTGGGTTTCCTCTCTGTGCCCAGCTCTTCCTGGCACCTCTCATGCCGTGCAGGGGTCCTGTGGCTGCTCTCCCCACTTGGATGGGCGGCTCATGAGGGGTTTGGCTGTGCCCCGGACTCCTAGAATGACACCTGGCTCTGGAGCCAAAGTACTGTCTGCGTGGGGCTCCCCAGGACTCTCCCGCCCCTCCTGCCGGGACCCACACTTACTCTTCTTGAAGAGCTTTTTCCTTCGTCCTGCCAGGCTCAGCTTGTAGTCCCTGCTGTCACAGGTGCAGGCCTCGCTGCCCTGCCCGTAGTACTTAGGGACGAGGTTGGAGAGGGCTCTGCCGCTGCCACCAGGCCGCACCGGGCCCTTGCACTTGTGTAGCTTCAGCTTCCCCGAGGCGTCCTCCACACACTGCCATTTCTGCAGACGCAGCAGGGCCTCAGGTGCAGGGTCTGGGCCACCCCGCTCACCAAACGCACCTTTCCCACATGGTTCGTCTGCCCTGGGGGGCTCCCTCTCCCTCCTGTGCCCAGGCGTTCCCAGGGCTCCCCTGCCTCCTGCAGGGCCTGTGCCACGGCTGCAGGTCTCATCAGCCCGAGCAAGATGCTGCTGCAGCCTCCACTCCCTGCCTCCCCTGCCTCCCCACTCCTCAGAACCATGCTCACCTGGCAGCTACAGCTTTCTTTTTAAAGGGCAAGTTGGAGCGTGTCACTCTCCTACTTAAAGTCTCCCCAGAGCCCCTGCCGCCTTTCCAGGAAGGTGCCAGCTCCCCATCCTGCATGGTCTGGCAGCGGCCCCTCCCCCATCCACCCTCCTGTGGCCTGGGCTGCTGTTCTCCAGCTCTTCAGGCTGGAGCAGCTGGGGAGCATTGCCACCCTCCAGGCCTCTGCCTGGGGTCACTCCTCTGAGGCTTCAGAGTCCACCTCGGCCTCCTCAGTCTTGAAAAAAATCCCAGTTTAGGCTCCCTTGAAATCAGCTATGTTTGCTCTTTCTGAATATGACTAGTTTCTTAATATTTCTCTTGTGGTTAATTCAAGTTTTTAACCTTATTTTTTTTTAAAAAAGGCTATTTCCTATGGCTCCTATAAATGGAAACCCAGCCACAAAGAGGACACCATAAAAGTGAACACCGTGAAAAGAAGCTGTTTAATCCCCTGGCTGCCTGCTGGGACCTTTGTGCAAATGGCCTTGGCATGGACCCAGGGGTCACCATTCTTCTGACATGGGTCAGAGCTGCCCGGACAGGGGCTGCCTTCTGCAGGCTCCCAGTGCACACCCGACAGGACCGGGGGTCGCAGCACCAGGAGACCACACTTTGGGGGCTGGCCTTGCCGGCCCAGAGGCCCACGCAGGCGCAGGCTGCAGCCCAGGCTGTGGCTGGGCAGGACAGGGGTGGCCTTGCTGCTCACCTGCCCCAGCTGCTCACAGGCCGTCTGGTACTCCGCGCGCTGACACAGGTCCTTCACGCGCTGATACTTGGGCAGGAAGTTCTCCTCCTGGGCATCCACCTTGCCGCTTTCCCTCTTGTGCAGCAGTTTCCTGTGGGGGACATGGGCCTGGCTTCAACTCTGGGTCACCTTTGCCATGGAGGATGTGGGACCTGCTGACCAGAGCTGCTAATTTTTAAGAGACTTAAGAAATTGGAACTATATAAGAAACGTCCCAGTTGGCACGAGTTGACAATAAATTAACAAACGCCCTCCTCCCTCCTGGCCTGGCTGTGAGGTGTGGGTGGCAGGAGCCTGCTGGTCCCTCTCCCAGCCCCAGCACTCACCCCCTCTCCACCAGGAAGGAGTCCCGCCAGACCCTCATCTTCTTTTTCAAGTGAAACCTGGAAAAAGAGCACTCTCCAGCTTCTTACCAGCGGGACCTCCCATGCCCTCCCATTCCCCAGGGCAGGGGAGGTGGCTTGAGGCCAGCCTTGTCCACGGTCAGTCCAGACCCCAGGCTGGACAGGGCAAATGGCCCAGCTGGCCCGGATCCTCCTCTGGGCAGAGCCGCTGCTTCTCCATGATGGGCTGTGCAGCCGCAGCCCGGGTCAGAGTCCCACTCAGCCTGTGATGCACTCCTGTTCCAGGAGTCCAGCTCCCCCATGCTGGGAGGCACGGCTCTCTCGGGGGCTCTGGACAGCAGGCTAATTACGTTGTCTGGGGTGGGGGCTTCTTTGCTCCACTTGAGATGGGTCTTTTCCATTCCTAGGTGGGTACACTGAGGCCCAGAGATGATGTTTCCCCCTGCAACTTGACCCCAGGTGTCTGGCTTGCCAGTGTCCCCGCCCTCCAGGCATGTCCACCTTATACAGCTGCTTCGGCTCCTCGTCAGAGGGAGGAGGCTAAGTGGAAGTGGTCCCCTCAGGGCAGCAGAGGACAGTGTCCCTCAGGACTGGACCCAGTGGGAGGTCACTGAGGAAGCCCAAGGTGAAATAGAGCCTCCAGGCCAGTAACGTGCTGGTAGTTCCAGGGCTGGCCACTAGATGTCGCCCTTGCTCTCCTCTGTCCCTGCCCTGATTCGCCCACCATTGCCGTTCCCTTAAGTCTCCCAGGACACCTGGGAACATGTCCTCTGGCAATATCTGTCATTAAGCCACAGAGCACTGCCAGGGGGAACCTGCATTCCAGGAGTTGCATCCAGACTTGCTGACAAGCCAACTCAACTTCCCTGGGCTTCAAATTCCCAGAGGGTAAGATGGGGATGCCGCCTCGCTGGGTAACTGTGAGGACCAAAACGAAATAATCCCCTGCAGAGTACTTAGAGGAGGCCTGGTAGGCAACAGTCCCTCAATTAGAGCTAACTCTTGTGATGTTTAATTTGTTTAATTTTAGTTCTGGGAGGGTCCTGAGCTCCAGATGGGAAGATGGGATCCTGGAGAGGGAGCATCCTTCTGTCCCTTAGCAGGTCAGTGGTCAGCATGGAGGGACCCCCAGCTCCTGACTCTTGGGAGATGCCCCCAGCCCACATGATTGGGCCCTGAGCCCATACAGGCTGGGGAGCCCAGCACCCCTTCCCCTCCTCACCGATTCACTGGCCGTTCTGTGTCCAGCAACTTGAGGATGGACTTCCCATCCATGTCCGTGGGGATGTCCAGGCCAGCGATATCCAGGATGGTGGGGGCCAGGTCAATGTTGAGGACAATGTGAGGGTTCCTGGGGGAAAGGGAGAGTGGGGACTCACCACCTGGTCACTGGTACCTGCCTCACTTGGGACAGGGACAGGGGTGGAGGGTTTGAGGCATTTGTGCTGCTTTAACCTCAGTGTCTCCCCAGATTCAGCGCCCCCCCCATTTCCCTTCAGTGCCTCCTGATGCAGCAGAGTGCTGTGGGCTGGCAGCCCGCCTCCTGCCCCTCCCCTCTCACTTTAGGAGCCACCCCAAAGCCGGGGTCCTGCCCTGGGCCTCCAGGCAGAGGCCGAGCCAACCCCACCTCCGAGCCCAGCCGAGTCCTTGCTATTCCCCTCCAGAACCTTCTTCCTCCCCACCCCTCACCCTGTAGGTCTTTGCTCAACTATTACTAAGGAGGCCTGTGACAGACCCCAACTGCCCCCAGGGCACAACCCTGGGCTCCATCTTAGCCATCGGCCACTTGAGTGTGGCCCAGCCTGGACTTGCTGCTAACCAGCGGTGGGGTCCGGCTGTCACCCTTATGGTTAGGTGCGGGTCTTCAACTCTGTCCAGCCATCTTGCTCTGTCTCCCGCTCGCCCCATGCTTGCTTTGAAGAAGCAAAGATGTCATAATTCTGCCCCAGCGAGGACCCCTGGGCACAGCCAGGGTGGCAGGCTATGTGGGCCGCGTCCTCCACACTGCACTCGTCCAACCCCATGAGCCCAATCAGAGGCCCTGCCAGGAAGCGGGGCCCAGACGTCTGACCGCAGTGTGGCGGGTAGGACACGTGCTGCTTCGGGCAGCTGTGCAGGTGGCCCCTGTTCTGAGCACAGAGGCCGGGTGTGAGCTCCTTCCCAGAGGCCCACTGAGATCTAATCCCCATGTGCCCCATTTCTCCATCCTGTTTCCACCATGGTGTTCCTGCCCAGGGGCAAGTGGCTTCAGGGCTGTGCCTGGCACAGGGCCAGTCCTGCTGAGTGAACGGAGGATGCCTTCTCCCTCCCACCTGGTTCTCCGAGGATGGGAGGCAGGTCTGGGGCCTGGGGCTTCAGTCATCTTTGCCCCTTCTCTTCCCCAGACCCATGCTGGGTGAGTACTGGACAGGTCACCAAGTGTGTCCAGGGTCTGGTGGTGAGGCCGAGGAAATGGCTGAAGCCACAGAAGGTGGGTCTGAAGGCTGGGGACGGAGCTGGAGACAGCTGTGGCCACAGGTGGTAGATATGCCAGCCACCAGGAGCTGGACGGGGTTGAGCTGTCCATGCCACCAGGGGTGCGGCTCTGGCTTTGGCCGCGTGGCTGTAAGCTCTGAGCTAATCCCGGAGGCCCCGGGACCTGGGGCCGTGGGCTGATGCACTTACAGGGAGCCAGCTTCCACATTGGGGCCTCTCACGTAGAACGGGACCCTGATATCAAACTCGTACGGCATGGACTTCCCCTTGACCAGGCCGAACTGGCCGATGTGGTAGCCATGGTCAGCGGTGTACAGGATGTAGGTGTTGTCCAGCTCGCCCGTCTCCACGAGCATGTTGTAGATCTGCGACACAGGACAGGAGCTGAGGCGTGGGGCCCTGTGCCTGGCTGCCCCGGCCCAGGGTGACAAGGTGCTGGAGATCCCAGGCCCCTTTACTCTCCTGCTTCAGGTCACATAAGCCAGGCCCCTGGGACTGTCCCATTGATAACTGCAGCCCCGCCCCCTGGTCCTCCAGCACGCCCCACTCTGTCTCTTCCTTAACTTGGGCCTGCTGACCCCCTGTATGCTCTGGCCGCTTACTGGGGCAGAGACGGACATTTGTCCCCTACCTGCTGTATCTCATGAACCCTGACCTGCAACATGTGCTCCTGAATGAATGAATGAGTGGGAGGGGCCGGACGTGGCCCACAGCAGGGTCTAGGGCTGTCCAGCCGAGGCTGTGGTGACGGCAGCCACAGATCTGAACGGTCCCCGGTGGTGTGGCTGCTTGCTGACAGGGCTGAGCACACTGATGGTGGCCCGTGTGACCGGGAAACTTACATTTTATTGTATTTAACTTAAAGAGCCACAGATAAACAAAATGTGAGACACACACCCACACAGCCCGAGATTCAGCAAGAAAAAACAAAAAAACAATGAATTCTAACAGGCCAGACCCCGGGCGCCTCACAGACCTGAAGTGAAGAAGCCAGGCATGCAAGCCCAGGGACAGTGACTCCATTTACACGAGGTGTCCAGAACACCAAGGCCACAGAGATAGGGCTTAGCGGGCGCTGGGGGTGGTGGTAGGGGCTGGGGGGAGATGGCAGAGGGTCACAACGGGGTTTCTTCTTGGAGTAGTGCAAATGTCCTAAACCACTGAATTATACCCTTTAGTTGGGTGAATTGAATGGCATGTGAGTTACATCTCAAAGCTGGTAAAAATGCAATGTCAGGAAAAACAAAACAAAAAGTAAAGAAAGAAAAAGAAGAAGAAAGAAAAAAGTAGCCCCAGCAGCCCAGAGCCCAGAGCCCAGGTTCAAGTCTCAGGAAAGCGGAGCTGGCGTCTGGGTGGCTCCAAGCCCTCTTCCTAGTCTAGGCAGTGCCTCGCACTCTGCCTTTGGCTTCTGGTCCCCTCTGTCTAGTGACCTTCAAGAGAACCGAAGGGCAGGGAGGGCCCAGCCCTGGTGTGGCTGGGGGTCAGGCCACACCTGGCGGGAGGCCTACCGTCTCCATGGAGTCGTCCACAGACATGAGGGTCTGGAGGCGTTTGCGCTGCAGCATGTTGGTGAACTCCATGTGGATGGGCTTCATGGGCCCCGTGTAGCGCATGATCCAGTGCTTGTCTGGGTTGGGTGCGTAGTTGTAGCTCGGCGTGCTGGGGGCAGACAGACAGACAGCGTCAGGCCCCTGGCCCAGGCCCCAGAGTCGCCTTGGGTGTGCCCCACCCGGTGTGGGGGGTTGCCTGCTCCACTTGGGGGCACGTGAACACCGGCAGGTCAGGGGCTCTGCTGATCACCGTCCTGGCCTCCTCCGCATGAGAGGGGCGCCTCTGGGAGGCCCAGCGTTAAGTCACCTTGAGCCAGAACTGCGAAACACAGGCCCCTTTTGTCTCTCAGGCCAAAGTCTCAACTTGGAGCTAGTTTTTCTTTGCCTCTTGTTTGGTGTTTGCTCCTCTCCTTTTAAAAGAATGAAAAGGTAGCCAGGCACAGTAGCGCAGACCTGTAACCCCAGCCCCTTGGACGGCTGAGACAGGAGGATTCAAGTTTGAGGCCAGTCTCAGCAATTTAGCAAGGCCATAAGCAATTTATGAGACCCTGACTTAAAAAACAAACAGGGGCTGAAGTTGTGGCTCAGTGGTAGAGTGCTCGCCTAGCACGCACAAGGCACTGGGTTCGATCCTCAGCACCACATAAATGTAAAATGAAGATATTGTGTCCACCTAAATCTAAGAAATAAATATTTTAGGAAAAAAAAAAAAATCCAAAGAGGCTTCAGTTCAGAGCTTCTAGCAGATCCCAGCAGCTGACTCTGATTGAGCCCTGTTGCTGTGCGTGTGCTGGATGTTCTTTTAGCCACCTTCAAGGGATGGCAAGTGGCAGTCACTGTGGCAAAGTGGAACTACAAAATCTACAAAAAACAATTTTTTTTTGTACCAGGGATTGGACTCAGGGTGACTCAACCTCTGAGCCACATCCCCAGCCCTATTTTGTATTTTATTTAGAGACAGGGTCTTACTGAGCTGCTTAGGGCCTCGCTTTTGCCGAGTCTGGCTTTGAGCTTGCAATCCTCCTGCCTCAGCCTCCCGAGTTGCTGGGATTACAGGTGTGTGCCACTGCACCCGGCTACAAAATATTCTTTTGCATTAGATTCTGGTTTAAAAAAATAGGAAACTGATTTAGAAATTAAGTACATACAGTTATGTGAGGCTGGTACCCAAATGTCCACATCTGGACACACCACTGACAACTGTCACAATTACTCTTCCAATTGTGGTTCAATCTCCCATTTACTAAAGAGGAAACAGGGTCCGAGAGGTTCAGGACCTGCCCGGGCTCCCCCCGAGTGAGTGGGGAGTCCTGGGCCTTCTGCTGTGTGGCCAACTGTGACTACTGATGACAAATGAACCTTCACCGGGCTGTGACCGCAGGCTAGGCACGGTCTGAAGCCACCTTCTGTCATCTCCTTCATACACAGTTCTAGGAGTGGGTGCTGTCTTCATTTTCCACGGGTGACAAATGAGGGCACTGGGCCCAGGGAGGAAAGCTAACTTGCTGGAAAGCCCAGCAGCTGAAATGGCCTCTGCTGCCACCTGTGACCAAAGCCGCCCTGGCCCTGGGGCCTGTGAGTCCCCACATCCTAGGTGCTGGGGCTGAACTTCCCCGGGACACTCCTGTGGAGGGTCAGGTGGCAAAGGCACACAGGTCAACTCGGCTCAGGGCCTCAACACCTTCTAGATGGTGACATATTCCACCCCAACCCAGAGAGCCTCCTGTCACCTCAGCTCGGGCGTCCTGGTGGGGCACGCCACAGCCGGGAGGCCGTCTGCTCAAACCCCCTCCTGGGTCCCCTGACCCCACCCCACCCCAGTCAGAGCTGACACAGGCGGAGAGGACAGCGCGGGAGAGGAGGGGCTGCAGGAGCGGGGCGCGCCCTCCGTCCCCCACCTGCCACATCTCAGGACCATCTCCAAATGGGCTCGGGTAGAAACGCGGCCGCTCAGCGCTCCTGACAGCCATGGAGACTGTTGCTAAGCGCCCAGCGGAGGAGGTCCCCAGCCCCGACCCGCCTGGACCCCGCTGGCTGATCCGCAGCCTCCCACCGCTAAATCCTCCCTCCCCAGCTTCCTCTGATTGTGAGAAGCTGCTGTCCCCTGTAGGCTGGCCTGACCCCGTGTAGAACACTTCCAGAACAAGGCCCCCTCCCGGGCTGAGCAGATGAGAGGTGGGGGGTCCTGGGGTGGGGCCCTCAGAGAGCTGTGGCCTGTGGGAAGACCACCCGCAGGCCAAGGGGCCACGCTCCAGGGTGCCGTCCTCAGCCACCACCCCCGAGTCGCTGGGGGCTAGGCTGGAGCCTGCCCTGGAGGGTCTGCAGCGGGGGACTCTTGGGGAGGATTCTGAGGCCAGAGGCTGCAGAGCCAGGCCCCATGTGGGGCCCAGCCAGCTGCTGGCCACCTGCATCAAGCTGGGCTCCACATGGCCCCAGGGGCCTGTAGAAAGCATCCCAGGAACGCTGGGTGTCCCCTAAAGAACCCAAAGGACATCCCTTGCCTTTTGGGGGGTGCAGAGAAGGGTGACTTCACCCTCACAACCTCTGCACCTGGCCCCTCGTGCCCTGTGTCTGGAGGCCCAACACCTGGTCATCTCAACCTGGCCACCCCTGGGGTTGGAAAGGGCAGCCCGAGCCCCGTGGGAGGCCACAGCCCAGGAGGAGGCCGAGGGCTGCTGGGTGTGGGTCTGTGTGTCTGGTGTTGGGCATCTGTAGGTTTGCCTGTTCGTGTGTATATCTGAGTGTGTCTGCACGCCTGTGCTTTGGTGGCTGTGTCTGTGTGTCTGTGTACACTGTTTCCGTCAGCGTGTCTGTATGTGTTTATCTGTGTCTTTGTGTGTGTCTTCACGTCTTGGTACGTATTTGTGTGTGTGGCATCTGCACATGTGTGTGTACTCGCATGCACTGGTGGGTCAGCATGCGTGTTTCTGTGTCTATGTTTGAACGTGTTGGTGTGTGTTGTGTGTGTGGCGTAGGGATGGTGACTGGGGCCCTGGGCTGGTGGAGTGGAGGCGACAGGGACAGAACCCGCACAGCCTGCCCCAGGAACAGGGACGAGGCAGACCTGCGGGGGGCTGGGGTGTGGAGACTCAGGTGGAAAGAGCTGCCCCGCGGCCCAGGCAGGACTGTCTCTGGTCCCCCTCCACCCAAGGTTGAACACCCAGCTGCGAGACTTTCTGTTTTTGGTTTTGTTTTGGAAATGATCACACCCCAGAGCCAAAAGAGCCTTCCAAATGCACCTCTGATGGGGTGCCGGGGGTTCTCTGCTCCAACAGAGGGCGCTGCTCATTCTCAACTTCTGGAATTTTCAACTCAATAAAGGAGCAGGCCACGCGAACCCCTCCCAGCAACCTGGGCCGCCTGGGAGCAGCCAGCACCTCCGCGGCTGCAGGGACGCGTCCCACCTTCTCAATGGGACAAGCTGGCCACAGAAGCCACGGGCAGGGGGGGCTGGGGGACCTGGTCCTGGGTGGCAGGGTGTGTGGGACCTGGGCAGCCAGATGTGCAGAGGCCAAGCTCCAGCTGGGGGGAGCACTCACCAGATCTCAGCTGGTCATCTTCTGTCAACTCCCCTCCCCAGAGACCAGGGCTCAGCAGGCTACCCACGGCCTCCTCCCAGCCTCTCCAGTGCGCTCAGAGGTGATCACAGCCAGGGGCCGAGGAGGGCAGTGTGTCTGACTGTCATGAAAATCAAACACCTGGACACTCAGATTCCAAGCCGCCCTGTCCTTGTTGCCCTGGAATGTCACAGCAAGGACTGCAGAGTACTGTTCCTAAACAGGAGATGGCGGGAGGCAGAGAGAAGCCAGAGAACTTTCTAGAAAGACATGCCAGTCAGCTGGATGGAGGAGGACTTGGGGGCAGGCAGGGAGGTGGGAAGCTTGGGTGGGGCTGGATTTGAACCCTGCTCTGCCGTTTAGCAGACGGGTGACCTCAGATCCCTGTTCCCTCGCCTCCCTGTGTCTCGGTTTCCCCATCTCTAAAGTGGGGCGCCAGGCTGCCTCAAGGAAGAGCCGTGTCACACAGGTGACCACAGCAGAGTGACGGCGTGTCCCTGGGAGATTACAGAAGGCGGTGGCTTCCTTCACTTGGCCTCTGTCTCTCCATGATGGTTTTGTCTGGAAAACCAGCTACCATGTTGGGAGGACGCTCGGCTTCCTCTGAGGGGTCCACGTGGCCAGAACCGGCTCGGTGGGCGCGTCCCAGGTAAGTGCCAGGTAACTACAGCCCCGGTGACACCTGGTGGTGACCTCTACCCCGGGAGACCCGGACTTCAGACACACATCTCCCAGGTGCCAGACACATGGACACAGTGAGGTCGCAAGCGCCTGCCGCTCCACCTGCTAAATGTCTCGGTGATTAGTTGTGTGGTGGCAGCAGCAGCAGCACCAGGTCACTGAGTACCAAGGGACTGGCTGTGACCTAGGTGGGCCCAGGTCTGCCCCCTCAGAAGCGTGTTTTAAATGCAGGAAATAAAACGCCCAGGAGTGCACAGGAAACCACCCAGCACGTCTCGTCCTCAGGCCTCGCACGCAGTGTGACGATGACGGGGATCCGAGTTAAGAACTGCCCTACTCTCGCCTGTGGCCTCGCTGGCCGGGTTGGGATCCCACTGTCACCACCCACAAGCAGCGTGTTCCTGGGTTCTTTAGCCAGGACACTTAAAGGGGCAGCTGTGTCACTGCTGCCATACTACTGTCCCCAGAGCCTGGCCCGCCCACCTTTGTGCTACCTGGTGGCTCCTGCAGGGGCTGAGGCTTACATGTGCTGGGACGCGTTGGGGAAGAGGCGTGAGTACTGGGGGGCCGAGTCCTCAGGGCCGTGGGGGGCTGCGTGGCTGATGACCATTAGCACCGGCCTGTGTGGGTACATCTTCTTGGACGTGCGGAAGAAGCTCACGCTGTCGTTGGTGATGAGGTCTGTGAGGTAATCCTGGGGACAGACAGGACAACAGGTGAGGGGCAGGCACTGTGCTGAGTGCTCGGCCAGGCACCCTGCTACACTTCGGGGACCCAGCAGTGAACAGGACACACTGTCCCTGCCCTGGTCCAGCTGCTGCTGGGGCCGAGAGACAACCGAGAAGCAAAATTCACAGGATGGCGTGAAGCTCAGTGTCCAAAAATAAAGCACAGATGAGGTTAGGGAACATGGGGGACTGCAAGTTGTCATTCCCTGTGACAGATATTAAAAGAATAACAGCTAAGACCATTGAGTACTTGTGATGTGCCAAGAACTCACCTGTGTGTCTTCGTCTTAGCTCATTTAAGTTTTACATAGTCACAGAAAACAGGTCTGATGGCAATCCTTACTTTTCAGAACAGGAAATTTAGGCACAGAGAAGTTAAGTGAATTGTTCAACGTCACACAGCTGGTAAAGGTGGAAGCCAGGACTCCTGAGCTATGGTTCCTGAGTCTGAAGCCTTAGGACTGTACTGAGGTACATCTCTGTGTCCCTGGAGTGCCCGTGGTGGGGGGCAGAAGCAGAAAAAAAGTCTAAATAAAGAACCAGGTAGTTACAAGGTATGACAGTTGAAGGAAATATGGAGATGTAAGAAAGGGTGACTGGGAGCTGGGGTGGAGACATGATTTAGCTGGGACAGTGGGGGGGCCTCTCTGAAGAGGTGGCTTTTCAGGTGAGACAGAGTGACGGAAGGGCTGGGTATGAAGCTCTGTATCACTGGGTTTCCAACTCTGCTGCCTGCTGGGATCCCTGGGGGCTTTACCGATGCCTGAGCTCACCCAGAGATTCCGATGTGATTAGCCTGTGCCTAAGCCCAGGTATCAGACGTGTCGGAGTTCCCCAGAGGACGCCAGCAGGCAGCCAGGATTGAAAATTACTGATCTAGAGGAAGAGTCCAGGCGGAGGGGCAGCAAATAAAAGGGCTTGGAGGTGGAGCGGGCTTGCCACGTCTTCCAGGCAGAGAAAGGAGGGCACTGGCTCCTAAGAGGGTAAATGTCACAGTCCAAATGCAGAGGTGACACAGGGAACAGCACAAACAAAGGCCTGCAGAGGTGTCTCCAGAAAACCAGACGGCAGCTTGTCTCCTGGGCAGGAGGTAAGAACGTGGCCAGAAGCCGGGGCTTTAAAAGCTCATCCTGGAAGTGGAGACTTAAATTCACACTTAGTCAATCTTAAGCTGCTAGTTCCCCTTGATGACACCAAGTTCTTAAAATGTACCCAGCTTCCTAGAAAGCAGCTCTGCCCAAACTGTCACTTTCAAGAAGAGATCAGAGAAAAAAGGTGAAGGGGCTGTAGGATCCATCCTGAACTGAGGGCACACCACTGTACACACTATGAAGAGTCAGGAGCCTGAAACGCGCCCCTTCAGGTACTCTCCAGCCCGTCCACAGCAGGCAGGTGGCTGCGGCAACACTGCTCCCAATGCACAAGCACACCACAGCCACCTGCTAACTTCTGCTGCTGTCACACCATGCAACGCCTACAGAGGTTAAAAAGTTCCTTAGAAAGTTGTGTGGTTCCTTAGAAAGTTGTCCAAGGTCCACTGAAGAGAAAGAGCAAGTGACGGACTCAACTTCAGGAGGATTCCTTTTTAAAAGTATGTATTGCCAGGCACAGTGGTGCACGCCTGTAATCCCAATGGCTTGGGAGGCTGAGGCAGGAGGATTGCACATTCAAAGCCAGCCTCAGCAAAAGCAAGGCCCTAAGCAACTCAGTGAGACCCTGTCTCTAAATAAAATACAAAATAGAGCTGGGGATGTGGCTCAGTGGTCAAATGCCCCCGAGTTTAATCACCAATATCCCCCCAAATGTATTTATTTTTATTTTTTAATTGGGGCAGGGGATGATCAAGGTGGAGAGGAAAAGCTAAATCACTAATCTCATATTTGTGAGCAACAAGGAAAAATCTGGAAGGATGGATATCAAGCTGCTGATTGAGGATTGGGAAAAGGGGAGAGAAGGGCAGAAAGAAGGTCACTTGCCACTTGACATACTTATCCTTGATTTTTGTAGATTAACCTTGAGAGGTAAGAAAAGGCTTCATAAGGGGGCTCTGTGGAACCCGTTGTATAAAATATTACATAAAATCAAAGAGCTCCTGAGTTGGGGGACAGAAGCTTAAGGTGTTAGAAAAATTCTTAAAGTGACAACAGAATCTGACAGTGGATCTAAAGCCAGTGCAGAGCCCCCTGGGGTGAGAGGAGAGCCTGCCCTGATGGGAAGTCAGCAGTGTCCTGGTGGGTGAGCTGGGAGTTGGGGGAGGATGTGGCGGGAGCCGCTGGCAACGTGTGGCCAGCGGGATGGGTGGGAGAGGAACACTGCCCTTCATAATAAAGTCGCCTATTAGAACTAGGTGTCGGCTTGGCTGCTAGGAAACAGTTTCACACAATGACCGTCAACCTCCATTCCCAGGATGGGATGGACAACAGGGTAATAACGAAACACTGAGAAAGAATAAATGAGAGCAGCCTAGACCAACATGGACCCCACGTGGCTGAGCCTGCAGCATGGGCCGTCCTACAGGTCCTGGGTGGGAAACCAGGCTGTGGGAGGATATGGATGAGGCAATGTCACTTAGATCAAAGTCTAGGACCACACACCACATTCTCCAAAGCTGGCAATGGCTGCACCTGAGATAAAGGATAAAGGTGTGTGGGAAGCAGAAGCACTGAATTCAGAAGCCAGGTGCCTCCAGGAGAGGAGGCAGGCCAGGCCAGGCCGGGTGTGAGATCACCAAGCGAATTGGGCTCCTCTGGGCCGTGTGACATCCTGGCCTTACACCTGGTGGTGTGTGGGGGGAGATGGCTGTGCCTGCCTCTCAGGGCTGGCACTGGGCTTTAACGTGCTAATAGATGTTAAGCTCTTGCCACGGTGCCTTGCACGCAGCCGGCTCTTGATAAGATTAGTCTGTAATTACAGCTGGCCTGGTGGCTTGGCAGGTCTCCTGCGTGGCTGAGAGCTACTCGTCCTTATCAGTATTCCCCCAAGGCCACTCCTTTGCTAAGTGAAGTCTTCCCTGATCTCCGACTGCTCCCTGGGACACTGCAATGACAGCCGACACGCAGCTCCCTCCACGTCCCACCCATGCTCCACTGTGGGCAGTGAGTGCTGGGCTGGCCCGGGAGAAGGGCTGCCCCTCTGCCACAGCACCAGAGCCAAGATCAGGTGATGGGGTGGAGGGGTCCTGGCTGGGGTGGGCAGCATGCAGAGACACGTGGGACACGGGGGACAAACAGGGACTGGCCGCTGACTGGTGGAGGGGTACGAGAGGGGCAGGCAGCTCCCCATCCCTGTTGGTTTGTGGTCCGGGCGGTTTGGGGAAGGGACAGAGATGGGAGTCCGGGAGAAAGAGGGCCGGAGGAAATGCTTAGTTCACACAGGGGCAAGCCGAGTTGGGTGCCTGGGGCCATGGGGAAGGTCTCAAGGTTCTGAGCTGGGAAGGGCAGGTGGGACGATGGGAAGCCAAGCTGGCCGCCATCACCCTTCAGGAGGTGGCCCTCTGTCCCCCTAGCAGCCAGAGCCAGCTACTCCTCACACCTGGGGCAGAACAGCGAGCTGAGGGCCCGACTGCCCTGGCACACCCCACCATGCCCGTGTGGGTAGGTGCTGTTGAGGGGTTTAGGACTCCGCTCCTTCCCTCTTTGGAAGTCACAGCTGAGCCAGGGCCAGGGCCCGGCTGGGACACCCCCTCTTGCACACTGCGTGCAAGCCTCCAGGGTCTTCCTGTGGGGCCCCCCGCAATCTCCATCAACTTAACACAGAGCCTCTGGGGAGGCTGCTGATCGGTGGCTCTGGGTGGAGGTGTGCCTCCCCCCCACCCCGCAGTCACTTGGCTCCCCCGCCCTCTCCCCAAGGAGGAGTCGGCGCCAAACACTTGCAGGGGCAGGCCAGGGCCGCGCATGCGCGCTGGGGGTGGAGCCTGCAAGGGCCAAGTGGGCAACCTCCTGCCTGCGCGCAGCCTTGGCTCCTCCAAGCCGCTGAAGGCGCTGTGTGCTCGCTGAACCAACTGTGTCCCAGGTGCCAGGCTCCCTGTGCACGGCCAGGGATGTAGTGACTGGTGTCCCACTTTACAGGTGAGGAAACCGAGGCCCCCAAGTTGATAAGCAGTGCGCCCAGGTGGTAACGTCTCCGCCCTGCAGGCGCCGTCCCAGTTGCAACTACTACCGACCCTCTTCAGGCAGCGCGGAGTGGCCGCTCCAGGAAAGCTTTTACGTGGACGCTAAAATTTTAATTTCATATATTTTTCACGTCACGAAAATTACTCCTTTAAAAATTTATTGTGATTAAAAATAAAACATGAGATCTGCCCTTTAAATTTTTAAGGGTGCAGCGGATCCGGAGAACTTCTTTGCCTTGCAGAACGTGAACTTCTGTCTGCTAACCAGCGGCTCCAGCCCCGCTCCCAGCCCCGCCTGCTCCTACAGATCTGGGGAGCCTGAGTGTCTCCTGTCTGGATTATTGCACTCAGCACAATGTCCTCCAGGCTTATCCGCGTCCCCCGCAGGATTGGGAACTGAATCCAGAGGCGTTTTACCACCGAGCCACATCCCCATACCAGCGTCACTGTCTAAGCCAGGGGTCTGGGGACTCCCACCCCAGGGCCACACCAGGCCCACTGTCTGTTTTTGTTCAGGAAGTTTCAGGGGACACCGCTGTCACAGTTGGCGTATGAAGGGCCACTGTGTTGGAGACATGGTCCCCAGTCTGTGGTGCCCATAGAGTGCCAAGGCCTAGGGGGCGAGAACTGGTGAAAAAAGTGGAGCGCTGGGGAAGTGTCCTTGAAGAGGACACTGGTGGTGACACACAGGCCCCTTACTCTCTTTGCTTCCTGGCTGCCATAGAGTGACAGGCCTCCTTTGACACTGGCTGCTACCATGATGTGACCACATGGTCACAGGCCCAAAGCAACAGGGTCAGACCACCAGGGCCTGAAACGTGAGCCCAAAGAACCTTCTTTCTTCTGGGTTCTGTCAGGTATTTTGTTACAGTGACAGAGCCAGGGAGCACAGCAGCCGTGCTGACCCGTTTTACCTCCGCGGTACTCCCACGGCCGACTCAGGGCATCCTCGGACAGTGGCTGGTGAGCCCAGAACAGCTAAGAAAGCCCCCGAGGCCATGATTTGTGCTACTGCATGCGGAGTGCATGCTGCACACAAGGGGCCCCTTAATAGATCCCCAGACACGGTGGTAAAACCACGATGACCGTCCCTCCCCCAGCAAAGCCCCTCTGATAAGGAAGACACTACCAAGTGCTGGGGAGGACCGTGGGGCCAGTGAGTGGGCTGCCAGCTGGCCCAGCATGTCCTGGGGACTCGACCCCTGGAAGGCCATGGAGAGAAATGGTGCGAATGTCCACCAAACGTCCAGGTTGGTGTTCACCACAGTTTGATTCATCATAGATTCAAACTGGAGACAACCCTAGGACCCCTGGGCCCCTGGAGGGATGGACAGCTGGCCGTCTGCACCGGTGACAGAGAGACCACTGCCGACACTCACGGGGTGGTGAGCCTCCCGGCTTCACGCCAGGTGCAGAAAACCAGAAGTGGAGGGGGTGTGCCGTGGGTTCCCTTCATGCAAGGCTCCAGATCAGGCGGGAGCAGCCCACGGCATGCAAGTCAGGAGGTCACCTCAGGTGTGCAGGCTGGGACTGGAAGGGTCCTGGGGGCCTCTGGGGCTGGGAAGGCCTCTGCCTTGATCTGGGTCGGGCTTACACAGAGGCATGTGGGCGAGAAGCTTCCTGAAGCAGCCGCTCAACACCATGCACTGCGCCAGCTCAACCAACGCGGGACACCGCGTCCGAGGGAGGCCACTGCGGCCACCCTCAGGCAGCACCCACCAATGCCGACGTGCCCACCCGTGACACCCAGCGGCTCGGCTCCTGGAAACATCAAGAAACACAGCAGACTTTCCCCACAGCTCTATTTCAAGAGCCCCTAGTGGAAACGCCCAGTAACAGGAGAACAAATACGTTCTGTGCCTTGGAATCAGCAGCTTGGACAGGGCGCCATGTGTGGCCATCCAATGATCCCTCGTCCTCTGCGGGCACCGTCTGTGGATCATCCTGCCTCAGCCCAATGCTCAGACCCCAACGCTCAGAGCCAGACCGACAGACAGAAGACCTGAGAAGCAGAGGGTGTTCGGTGAATGGCTCAAAGGCATGCAGTCGAGCACTGAGTAGGTCAGAGCCGAGGGGACCCTGGGCGCCGGGTTGTGGGCCTGCGCTGGCCGTGGCTACGCAGCATGGCGGGCCGGGGAGGCACTTACCTTGGAGTAGTCGAAGCCGTGCTTCTCCTTCACCCCATTGCGGCACAGTGTGTAGTTATAAAAGCGGGAATTTTTAAGGAGTCCGACCCACTCCTTCCAGCCGGGCGGCACGTAGGAGCCGTTGTACTCATTGAGGTACTTCCCGAAGAAAGCTGCAGGGGACAGATCAGGAGGGCGGTGAGCAAGGGGGTCAGCAGAGCCTCTGGGCACCACCCACCATGCTCACCTCACGGCCCTCTGCCACGAGGGCTCTAGCAGGCCGGGGCCAGGGACCCCATCTCCAGCGTTCCACATGCACCAAGTATACAGGGTTGCCGAGAAGATCAACTATTTGAAATATGGTCATCCAAATATTAAAAGAATTTGCAACACAGTAACATATCCTTTAAAAATTAGCACATCTGGTCAGGGAGGCGACTCAGTGGTGGAGCACTTGCCTAGCATGCGTGAGGCCCTGGTTCCAGCCCCCGCACTAAAACACACACACGTTAAAAGCAAGACTTGCAGAGAGTGATCATATCAGACTTCTCAATATCTGTAAGAACTGCTGCAATGGGATATTAAATGATATTGGTAATTTCTATGGATGACAAAATTATAAATTCTGCCAGCATATGGCGTTCTGTGGCCTGTATGCAAAAGCTGAGTGTTAATTGCACACTAGTGAGAAATAAGAGCATCTCGTTCCCCCTTCAAGTTTGTGGAGGCCTTAAACACTGTGTACTGCAGTGACCAGAATGACTAACAAAAAGTGGAGAATGCCAAGAGCTGACAGGGACGGGGGCAACGGAACTCCTGCCTGGTGCTGCCAAATGGGCCAACTGTTCCCAGCACCACGGAAGTTTAGCTTTGCCCTGTTTCCTGGGGATTCAAGCATCCAGCTCCCTGAGCTACCAAAGGGTCTCTGTTTTGGGGTAACCAAGCACCTGCCAGGCCCCCAGGGAAACCCCACAGAGGGACCCCGCTCCGTCTCTGCTAAACTTGAACACACCACTTCTGAGCCAGGGATTAGAATCTTGGGTATTTACCCAACAGAAATGCACTCACATGTTCACCAGGAGTCTCACGTAGACATGTTCATGGCAGCACATTTGCCATGACAAATAACTAAAAGCAAAATGTTCATTGACAAAAGGACGGGGGAACGAGACTCCTGCGCGTGCATTCAGCGGAGAACCACACAGCCACGGGGAGGACCTGGTGTTCCCGTGAGATGGACGCAGCTCGGCAACCTAAGACAGTCCAGAGGAATCTGTGGTGCTGGACACGGGGACAGTGGTGATCTCAGGGTACAAGAAGAGCAGAGAAGGGAGGGCTTCTTGGGGGACGATCATGTTCTGTCTCCTGCTGAACATGGGTGGCTCTGTTGGTGAACTAAGGACCGGGACATCGGGGCGTGGTGTGCTTCTGTGTGTGTGTTTCATGTCACAACAGAGCTTATTAAAAACCCCGCTTCGTCAGGAAGGGGACACCTAACCCTTTGTGGGCTAGGGACACAGACAAGCTCTTCTTAGCGAGCCTCTGCTGTCCCATTTAATCTTTTTAGCTTAGTGATAACGTACCCTTTTAAAATAATTGTAACCTATAAAGACATTTTACAGAAATGTGAAGCAGAAACAGAGTCCTATTCTAGCGCCCCTTTCCAGAGGGGGACGCTGGGGTACCAAGGCACCACAAGGACCACTGAGCGTCAAGACGCCTCAAGACTCCAGGGTTCCAGGCAGCTGGAGGGAGGATCGTGGGCGGGACCCTTGGCCCTGGGTAGCAGGGAGCTTCCCATCACCTGAGATGGCAAGAGGCAGGGCTGGGCTGTCCAGAGCAGGGGAGAGAGGGCCAGGCTGGGCCCCGAGGGGCCCAGGGGAGAGGTCTGCCTGGGACCTTGGAGAACACACCAGGAGCTGGGGCGGCCTGTGGCCCAGAGGCTGTGACGGAGCAGGGTCCCTCTGTGGGGTTTCCCTGGGGCCTGGCAGGGGCTGCCCCAAAGCAGAGACCCTTCGGTAGTTCAGGGAGCTGGATGCTGGAGTCCCCAGGAAACAGGGCAAAGGGGCACTGTGCTGAGTGCTGGCCTGCCGCAGGGGGCCAGGGAGGGAGGTCAGGAAGGGAAGGCCCCCCAGCAGCCCCAGGGAGAAGGAGCCTCCTCCACCTGGGAGGCCGAGCAGAAAGAAATGGAAGGATCCGGCCTCCTGGGGAGGCGCAGTGGATGGCCGTGCCATCGGACCTGAGTGGTCTCTAGTGTGTTGAAGATGCAGTGTGTGGAGGTGGCTGATTGAACACGACTGCGTCCCTGGCCCACGTCAGGCGGTGAGGACTGACCAGGTCCCCGGAGCAGCAGGGAGACGCTGCTGGGCTGTCACAACATGGGGGAGCCGTTGGCATCCAGGGGGCAGGGGCCATGGAGCTGCTAACTCTCCTCCAAGGCACAGGGCGGCCCCCTCACTATGAAGAATGATCCAGAACAAAACGTCAATGCTGAAGTCGAGAGAAACCCTGATCTTGTTTCCAAACTCCACCCCAGCCCTCCTTGCGGCTCTCCTCTCTGAGCCAAGAGTCCGGAGAGCACTTCTGGCCAGGGAGCAAGGCTGAGAGGCCCCGTGACTGTCCCCACCCAGCACTGCCTTCCGTCTGAAGCTCTCCCCAACACCCCGGCCCCTCCAGGCCCTCAGCCCTGGCGAGAGGAGGACAGGGCAGCCGGGTGGCCCTTCCTGTGAAGGGCACATATGTTCAGCTCCACAGGACGGACGGTCTCTGTGGCAACTGCTCGGGGGACGCTGCCCTTGCAGAACTATCCCGGGACTGGACGTGAACAAATGGGCGCCGTTCTATTCCAATAAAACTTTACTTACAGAAACAGACGAGGGCCGAGTGTGTGCCGTCACCAGTCTGTAACCACGGCACAGGTGGCTGGCAGGGCTGCAGGGACAGGCAGGGTGTGCAGGGCGCTGGCTGCAGGGGACCTGGCCTCGGGAGGCTTGCTCTCCCTGGGCGGGGAGCGAGGGCCGCTGGCTGCTTTGGCCTGCAGCTCTGCAGTTTGGTCAGGAAACCTGTGTCCTCTGAAGGAAGCCGCCCCAGCCTCGCCATCCCTCTGCCACCTGGTCATTCCCTTTTTCTCTGGGCTCACGGCCTCAGCAAGGAAGGGGGTGGGGTCCAGCAGCCCCCCGCAGGGGCCCGGCACTTTCTGTTCCCGAATTATGGTCAGTGGTGACGGGAGAATTTCCTTTTGAAATAACTGAAGTCAAAGGAGGGAAACAAGAAAACCGTGAAGTCAATAAGAGAACTGGCGAACCTGGCGAGGTACGAATCCCAAACCCGGGCGGGCGGCACGAGCCTTGCTGAGTGGGGGTCACGGCCCCAGGGTGTGTGTGTTTCACGTGTCCACCGACAGCTCCAGTCGCCGCCCCCAAGGACATCTCAAGGACACACTGTGCATATGAACGTGCGCCATAGTCTAGGTGTGCGCCCCGTGGTGTCTGTACAACCACCAACAGCCTAATGACGCGCTTCTCAGAACGTGTCCCTGCTGGCAAATGACGCGTGAGTGTATTTTGGCAGGAGCTGGCCTGACCACTGGAGGCCGCAGTGCCCAGACCTTGAGGAACCCTCCCTCCTGGGAATGACGTTCCACAGGGACTGTGACGCATGAAGTGGTGACGTCAGTGGTAACAGGGACAAGGAAAATAAAGGACAGTGACATGACACGCGGCACCATGAGGCATCCCGACACTGGCCACTGGACTGAGTGGTCAGGGGGGCTTCTCTGGGGCCTGAGGAGGAGCCCAAAGGGGATAGGGGACCACCAGGGAGACAGTGTCAGGCAGAGGGGACCCCAGTGGACAAAGGCCCAAGGGGGGGACCTGAGGCCCACAGAGGGGGACGGAGGTGAGGACGTGCAGGGACGGGCTGGGGCGCGCTGGGTCCTGGAGGTATGGTGAGAAGTCATGAACTGGGACAGGGAGCCCGACAGGGCCCCACGTGCCCTGAAACGTGACGTGCCAGATTTTATATTTTATACGCATTTTCGCAGCTTTTGACACCTTCTGAAAGAAACCCAGGACCACGGGACACTCAAGACGCAGGGAGTTTCTCCCCTGGGTTTGCAGAAAATCAAATAAGAGCCCAGAGAGGAAGGGTCCCGCTCCACGGGCACCGCGCCCTCTCCCGGGCCTCCTGTCACTGACCAGTCAATCCCTGCTTGTCCAGGGAGATCCGGGCCAAGGCCACTCTGACCAGGTGCGGCCTGGGATGCCGAGGAGGGTGGCTGGTGTTTCTTGGGCGTGGTGGGCCTGCCTGAGGGAGCCCACCCCCGCCCCGTGGGTGTCAGAGCCCCCAGCTGTTCCCTCCACGGGATGGCCCCCTCTCTGCTCTCCGACTCCAATCCTTACAGAATCCAGGAACAGTTTATTATTCAGGTTCCGCGAGGCCCTAGAAAACAGGGCTTCAGTCAGGAGCTTTTAGTGCCAAATTAGATTCTGCTCCCATTTGATGAGATTTCCCCAGGGCAGATTTTACACGGCTACTCCAGCGCCAGTCGAGGTGGAGAACCCAATTAGCATGAGCCCAGGGCCCGGGACACACAGCCAGAGAATGAGCTGGAATTCAAACCAAGATGAGCAGCTCAGTCCAGGTCCTGGCTGCGGCTGGGGAGTGGGCTTCTCCAAGCTGCAGCGGCCGGGATGTGCTGGGGAGGGGACCCCAGGCTGGCCAGTGCAGGCAGAGCCACCTGCCAGGCAGATTGACAGGCTTGATCCTGGGCCAGGCAAGGCCATTGCCAATGTGCTGGTTGTCACCGTCCCTAGGAAGCAGGCTGGCATCTACCGACAGTACAGAGCTTGGGGGCCTTTGTCAGACAGGCCCTGGGGTTTCCCGCCTGCAGTGGAGACCCGCTGTGCCCATCAGGTCCTGACTGTGGTCTCTGGGCACAGCCACTTCGTTAAGCACACGGGGCTGACCTCAAGTCCTGGCCCAGGGCGGGTGCACTGTCTCCTATTGACCAAGCCGTGCAGCACGTCCTGCCACCAAGGCTGGCTCAGGGAGCCCCGTGACCCAGGCTGGGCCAGTTGGAGAGGGTCAGCCCTGTGAGTTGGAGGCAGCTGCTAATCCTGGGGCTGGGAGCTCGGGGCTGCCGGCAGCCATCTTGCCACTGAGCGTCTACCTG